TCTAATATACCTACATACCTATATATATATATAGTAATATAGGAAGTGCTCCATGGTGTTTTTAAACTCCATACACCTTCATTAGAATCATTTGGATAATTTCAGCCCTGACATTGCCAATCTATGCTAAACAAAAGGTAAAAAAGTAGCTGTTAACTTGAAAACACTTCATGGCATCAAAGGAGAAACAGAGCATTTTGAGTATTGGGAATACAGACAGACTCATCTGAATGAAACAAAACATAACTCCAGGTACTTGGTAGCCACACCTCCAATCATCATGAATCATTCACATAAAAATCATAATGCACTCTCTTACTCCTCATAATGGCTTACGCTTGTAGGCTACACTGTAATCATTATTCATTGACCACATACTCCGAAGTGGTAAGCTTCTATTGTAGCTACAGTTGCTGGAAGCAAAGCGAGGCTGTCGATCTGCACCACTGGTCCGTCCGAAAAACAGTCACCACTAAATTACACACTACATTCATATAAGCCAAGGTGGGGAAGTGTCTTGCCAAATGAAACAAAGACAGAACTTGGCCCAAGCAGGAAATTATCCCCCATTGTGATGCCTGCTCCTCACTAGACACATACTCTATGTGTACACACAACCACTGCCCCTGACACTGAAAAATGGGTAAAATGCAAAGGACACGTTTCCCTACAGTATCAACAACAAACTTAGTTGCATATTTTTGGTATCTATTTTGAGAACAAAGTACTTACAGAAACCTTAGTCAACAGTTTTCTTATTGAATGCTCTACCCACTTTTGCAAATAAGAGGAAAGGCCATTAATCACACAGAAATCTGTTTAAAAATGTATGTAAGTGAACAAGACAGGGAAAGTTTGCTGGAGGAGAGGCTTGTGGAGGCGGGAGTGGAGAATGTACCAAAGGTGTAGAGCAAACTGAGGCCTGACGCCTTTGTTTGGAACCTAGAGAAAAGAGAAACACCCACTGTGGAGGGTCAATATGTTTACAGACTGTGAGTGTTTTTAAACCTGAGTACATATGTCTAAAATGTCTGTTTAGCTGTGAATGAAATGCAAATGTTATGATGATAAGTTTTATCTGTTTTTATAGTGATTGTGATTATAATTTCACTTAGTTTCTGTAAAGCACATTGAATTACTTTGTGTATAAATTGTGCTATTCAATTAACCTTGTCTTGCCTAAAATGAAAAGTGGAATTACACTCTAAACATTAGCTTCCCCTGTTAAACTCTTATTTTTTTTATATTTCTTGGAAAGCTTTTTATTTGGTATAATAAAATGACAAAAGTTGTAGGCTTTCCATCTATGAGCTGAAAATGCTATGTGTAATTCTTGATTTATTACTTCTTAACTTTGATACAGATAGATTTAGTGTGGAGTTCTGTGCTCCGTGTGGATTCCCTCCAGGCACTCCTGTTTCCCCTATCAACCATCAACCTAAAAGATTCACGGTAAACTAATCCTCTAGCCAAGGTCCTGCCCAAGGTCCTGACCAAAATCTAGGCTCCAGATCTAGAGATGGATCCCAAGGTACAGCAGTTTATCTAGAACTCTCCACTGGCCATATTTCAACCTCTATTAGGTTTTAAAAATGTATTCAAAAAATCTGAGACTACAACAGAAATATAATCATTTGACTAGTTCACAGCTAATATAATGTCTGTTTCAGTCCTACAGTAAAGGTCCTATATTACAAAAAATTTAAGGGATGTTATAATGTCGTTACCTTCACAAAAACATACCTGGAGTTGTGTTTTGTTTCATTCAAACATGTTTGAGTTGAATATCTTTATTATTAGCCTGTCTGCATCTCCAAAGTTCAGAATGTTCTGTTCCACCTTGTGATGTCATTTAGGGGTAGTTTTAAGATTTACAGGTATCTTTTTAGTTTAGTTCAGTAGAGATTGTCTATTCCAGGGGTGAAATTACCCAAATGATTCTAGTGAATGTGTATGTAGTTTAAAAACACAGCACTTCCTGTATTACCACATGAGTGTTTTCCGTACGAGAAGCCTTAAAATGCAGGATTTGTGTGTTAAACACATGTGAGTGAGATAAATCACAACTCCAGGTAGGTTTGTGATGAGGAAACAACATTGTAATATAAATCAGAAAGTAATGTAATATGGGCAAGTTAAGTTCACCTTTATTTATTTTCATTTCAGTTTTAATTTATTTGACTTGTGTGGTCATGTTGGTATTCAGCTGTACTGTTGTGTGCTCTATATTTCAAATAAAGGTTATTCCATTGAATCTACTGTACTGTGTCACTATTGTCTTCATAACAGTGAAATGATCTTTCACTTTTCTTGTCCGTTGCTGTTCCTGAGCAGCTGCTGTGTGTGAACTACTCCCATGTTTGTATCTGTCGTATATTTTCAGACCATAAACACAGCATTAGCACTTTACAGTTTTATTACAGGGACAGGCTCGGTGCACAGATGTGACGAGGACAGATATAGGGGAACAAAACATTCATTTATGGTGTTACATTTAAAGGTCCATTAATCCTGAGTGAGCAATTGACTCTATTTTATTTTATACATTTGTACAAGCTTAACAAGTCATCAGAGTATTGATGCTTTGCATCTGATGTAATCAACATTCCCTTGGGTGTGAAGTGAAAGCATTACTCTGTCTGAAGCTCTGTTACTTAAGTTAGACTTTATCTGGTCTTTAATTTAACACAACCTGACCAGAAAGATTTGGTTTAGTTACACTACAACAAGTGAGATGATTTGTGCCATTAAACACGTCTCTAAGACATAAAATTAGTTACAAGATAGCAAGAAGCTAGCATTAGCCAACAGTTTTTCAGTTAGTAAGTTAAGTAAGTTTTTATTTATATAGCGCTTTTTACAGAACATTATTCATTCAGTCCATACCCGGTGGTGGTAAGCTACTATTGTAGCCACAGCTGCCCTGGGGCAGACTGACAGAAGCAAGGCTGCCAATCTGCACCATTGGCCGCTCCAACCACCACCATCACTCACACACGCCTAAGGACACAATGACAGTTTTTGCAACTGGTGTCCCACTGTGGCACCTGATTTTCCCAGTTGTCTCCCATCCAAGTACTAACCAAGCCGAGCCTTACTTGACTTCTAAGATCTGACAGGATCTCAGCCTGATCTCTTCCCAGAATCAGGCTTTGATCAGGCTTTTGTTGAAGATCAAACTCCTAAACAGGACCATGATTGTTCATATTGATCAAAGGCTCCTGAAAATTTGTTTAATTCAATTTTTTTTTTTCCATGGCTTTTCAAACTCTTTTTTTGTCTGTGTTTCCTAATGTGGTATTTTGTCACCATGGGAACAGCTAAACATTTCGCCAACAAAGATACATGTAGAACACCCTCAGCATGATCATGTCACTGCGAAGTATCAATAGGATTTGGGCTACATAATATAGTGTAGTAGTTTTCAAAGTGTGGTCTGCAAGATTCCTTTGGTGATAGTTATATATATATTTGGAGCTATGCAAAAATTTTGTTTGCATCCAGTATGGCCATGGCTGGGGTCTATTTGAATCAATATTTCAATCAATTTTTGACTGGGTTGGACCTTGTTTAGTCCTTGTTTACTTCTAGTTTTGGCCTGATTTAGACATAGTTTAGACCTGGTTAAATCCTGATTTAGATCTCATGGTTTAGACCTATTACCGGGTTCATGTAGTTCTAACTTAACGTACCTGATTTAATCCTATTATTTGGGCTTGATTAAAGATCATCCAAATGACACTTTTGAAGGTGTTGTGATTGTGCAATTTGTGGCTCACCTATCAACAAGAAGGCCCAGGGCTTTATTCTCCGAACTGAGCAGCATCTTTCTTTGTATTCCCTGTGTTTTCCCTGTGTCTCCTCATGACCGAAATCCTGCCTCCACACATTTGTTTGGGTCCCAGGCACTGCACTGCTATTGTCCACAGCTTCAACTGGAGAAATGTAGGAATGTGGGTCAAATGCAGAGAACAAACTTCACAACATGGATAATAAGGTGTAGCTATGTAGCTATAAACTAAATATTCCTAAAATAAAGAAATGCAAAAGTTTCACAATTCAAATGAGGTCAAACAGTATCAAAGCATACACAAAATAAAGTTTACAGTTTGTAAGTTTTATTATAAGTATTATATTATATGTATGTGTTGTGTGTGTGTGTGTGTGTGTGTGTGTGTGTGTGTGTGTGTGTGTGTGTGTGTGTGTGTGTGTGTGTGTGTGTGTGTGTGTGTGTGTGTGTGTGTGTGTTGTTATATTTTCTGTTTTAAGGCCTGTAACACATTTTTTCATTTACCTCGTTCGTCAGTTTTAACATTTTACCTGAACAACTGCCTCTATATTTTATTCATATACACTTCTTACTCAAAATATTGCATATTTATTGAATATTAAACATTTTCAGACATTAAATTATTATTAAATTATAATTTTTTTCCCATTTAGCTTACTTATTCAGGGTCGGTTGATAAAGGCGTGGCTGGGAACGGTCACGGGTACATCTCATTTCTGTTCATTTTACTAACTTTCTCAATTCCTCAATTTATGAAAAGTAATTTTAATCTAAGTTAAGTTTTTTTTTTTTTTTAAAACCTTAAAAATACAATTTGCTTTTTTTTCTGTTTCTTTTTTGCCGGTAGATTGATTTACTATTGAAGAAATGGGGGGGATTACTTTTAAGGAGACTAGTGACCAGAAATTTGATGCACCCATTTGCCCAAAACACGGAAGTGGCTCTGCTCCGACGCTCCTGATTGGCTGACGCGTGTTTACGTCAGAGGTTTCCCCGGTCCGTCAGTGTGGGGTGTCAACATGGCAGCGAGGGATGTCATTGTGGACAAACTGGTTTCTTTTTGGAGAATCCCGGGCTCCAAACGTAACTTTCCCTGGGTATTTTTAATCATCTCCATCGTGGGGTCGTTGCTGAAGGAGCTGCAACTGGTTCCGGAGTCGTATTTTAGTAGTAGCAAGAATATTCTAAACTTGTGAGTAGCACTGAAGTTGTTGTGGCTAACTTTGCTAGCATAGGATTGTCCTCAGTTGTTCGTCTAATCGCATTTTTGACATTCTTGAGTGATTATTATTGCTTCATATTTGATAAATGGCTGATTGTACGCAGGGCTACGCTAACGTTAACTAACCTGACAAATAACAAAATCAGATTAATTAGTCTCCCAGGCGTTTTGACTGTGGAGCTACACCCATGGTTGGAATCATACATGCTGAAGAACTTAAACTACCATTGGAAGTTGGAACGCCCAATAAATTTTATACAAGTTCAGTGAAACAGAATCTACTGAGCTAGCAAACTTAAATAATCATTCACAATATGTTTTAAATGCCATTGCCATTTTAATTGCCAATGCAAAAGAAGGTGAGCTAGTTGCAGCTTTAACATAGATATTGTACGCTCAGTGTCTATACAGCTTTAATATCTCCAATCCAATTCAGTCCAACTTTATTTCTATAGCATATTTTATAAGCAAGACAGTTTCCAAAGTGCTTCACATAGCAATGTAAAACATTTCACTTTAAAAGTCAACAGAATTATGTTCCACAGCAAAAGGAACTAATAGAATCAATAGATAAAAGAATAATAATAAAATCAATGAACAAAAATAATTAAATCAATAAATAAAGACAGTACTAAAAAAATAAAATGCATAAAAACAATAAACAAATAAAAATAAATCAATAAAAGACACAGAGGACCACACAGCTCACACAGTATTAAAAGACACAGAATAAAAGTGGATTTAAAACAAAAATTAAAACACTCCACTATGGGGGCTGTCCAGAAGATGGGGGACAAAGCGTTCCAGAGCTCGGGCCAGCCACAGAGCAGACCCTGTCCCCCCTGGTTTTAAATCTTGTCTTAGGCACCGCGAGTTGGAGCTGGCCCACGGAGCTCAGAGCATGTGTGGGGTGTAGATCTGGATGAGGACCGAGATGAATTGTGGGGCCAATCCATTCTAGTATGTCCTAGTATGTATGCATTAGTTTAGCTGTTCAGTCTTCTCTCAAATGTGAATGCTCCTGGAGCTCATTCTCTAACAAACTCCTACAGTTCTGCTCAAACTGTGAGATACAGGACACTCCCTACAACTGTACAACAACTCACCCTTATGTAAGAGATAAGCCTGTGTTTTTGTCCATCATCATATCATCAACTGCATTTATATTATGATATTTGTTTTTACATACATTTATATGATTTATCTCTTATTTAACACTAGTATCTTGCTTAGTTTTTAATTGCTACTAATTTAGAAGTTTATTACCAATTTTATATTGTTTTACTCTTTGTTATTGTAATATAATGTGATGCTTGAACTACTTTGTCCAAGTAATTTCCCTTGTGGATCAGTAAAGTTTGTCTAAGCCTAAGTCTAAGAGTTTACAATGTGCAATGTGAATTGAATATTGATTAGATCTTAATCAGGTGGGAAAAATACTGAATTGTGATTTTTCTGACAAGCATCGCAGGTTGATTTGTGATTTATTTTTTAATAATAGGATTCTATTCAAAGTTCACATTTAAACGTGTCCATAAGAATCAACAAAAAGACTGAAATATGAACTGGCAATCTAACTGAAGATTCACGTTTCAGCTCATGTTTGTAAAGATGTAAACTAGAGGGTTAGTAGTTTTTATGCAGAATAAGACGGGAGATTTTGTTGTTTTGAGGAGGAAATTGTGGTATTTCAAATTGCTTGCAGACTTAATCTTGATAAAATTTTGTGATATTTGACAATAAAATGTAATTTAGCTGTTGTTCATTCATACCACAGATATTTCTCCTAATACTATGCCATTGTTTTGTTTTGTTTGTTTGTTTGTTTTTTCAGATATTTCGTGAAGGTGTCATGGGGCTGGACTCTGCTTCTCCTCACTCCCTTCGTCCTTTTGTCCAACTCTTCTTTCAGTCGTGATGTTTCATTCCTCACCCGTCGTCTCCTCTGTCTCCCCGTCGCCACCGCCATCTGGTACATTTTCACCGAAACCTTCTTCTACATCGAGGATGCCACCGGATTGTGCTACCAGACCACCACCATGGATGGTTTAAAGGCTGAATTCATCACCAAATCTACCTGCAGACGCGCCGGATTCCACTGGTTCGGCTACGACATCTCCGGACACTCGTTCATTCTCACATACTCTGCGCTGTTTATAATGGAGGAAATAGCACCAATGGGTTACTTGAAAAACGCAAACGTGTCTAGCTTTCCGCGCATGGTTCTCAACTTCTTGTACATAGCGTTGAATTGTCTGGTTTTTCTCTGGGTGTGGATGTTTTCTTGTACTTCGGTGTATTTCCACAGCCCTTTGGATAAGTTGTTGGGAACACTGTGTGGTTTGTTGGGTTGGTATGGGACTTACAGACTTTGGTATTTAAAACGAATGTCGCCGGGACTGCCACCTCAGAGACAAACAAAGGAGCAGAAACAACGCACATGAGCTGCTAAAACAATTTCAGTCTCTTATCTATCTCAAATATATTTATAGCATTTGATGGTTAAATTGCACATGACAGGTTAGACTACGGTACGCATTTCACCATAACAACAGTGAGCATCATTATATAACTATACAACAATTATATTTAAGATTTTACTGAAAACGTAGCCAGATTTTCACTAGTTTGAACATTTTGGTTAAGTTTATAATTTTACATCCTTAATTGCCTTAATTCTGTCATTCTCTAAGTGATACCTAGCACCATAATGTTAACCATAGACTGTATAAAGAAATGGACTAAGGAGTGTGACATTAGCCGATAACACTTGGCTCCAGTCAAATGAAGCTCACTGAGGCTTGCAGTTATAGCAGCGAATTTTAAGCCAAGTTATGGACAAAATATCTAACGGGTTAATGCAAGCACTTTAAGACCAAAGTGAGGAGTGTGACAGCAGCATTTACAGAGAGAGGGGCCATGTTTTTTCACTAGAAAGTCACTTGGAGCCAGAGTTGGTGTGAGAGGTTTGCTATGTCCGTTTATATATACAGTCTATGATGTTAAGGGCCACCAAATTCTTTCAAACCAAGTAAGTCAGAAAAGCATGAAAACCTGTCATATGCACGTCTTAGATTTAGAGCAGGGATCAATATTGTTTTACGGGTCAGGCACAGTTTTAAAAGAAATCTCAAGAAGAAAATTCTGAATTACTGAACCACATTTTTGGTGCTATACTGGAATTAGTTCATCCTAGGTAGGTCACGTGTGCCAATAGAGAAGACACTGACATTACAATTTGTGCCAGTTTTTGTTTCATGTGGATAGGCCCAGTAATGACAGAGGTATGAACCAAGTCAAAATATCTGCAGTTTGTATCTTTTGTTCAGTTTCAGTTTTAAACTTTAGACTTATTAACAAATTATCACACTACAAGTTTTGGGTCCATGCTGCTGTCTAACGTTTTGTTTAAATTACGATAAACTGGTTTTGAAGTTTATTGTTTGCAATGATAATCGGCTTTGGAATTATCTGTTGGTAGCTGCTCATCAGAAATTAATGTTTTAAGAATGTGTTTTGATCAAGTCCATGAATTAATATAATGGGGAAAATAGTATGTGTACAGGTTTAATATCATCAAAACAAATAAGAAACATGAGTGTTTATTGTGAGAGGGAAAGGGGCAGGAAGAAAAGCTGTTCAGTTTTGTCCTGAATTTATTGTATACAAGTTTTACAACAATTTTAAGCTTCTCAAAAGGAATGTATAAATGTCAGATTTTAATATAGAAATTCAGTTATTTTACGATTGCCATGTTTTGACAACAGAGGAAACTAAATCTTCACATGGTGGAGATTTAAGTAATATAAAGTGACATACTTTCTTCATACATATTTATTGTTCATTTGTCATGCTTTTGGTACATATTAGTTTGGAGAATCTACCTTTTTCAATGAGAAAGTATTTAGCTCTGAAATGTGTTGCTGCCTTGTTTTTATTTATTAGTTGCGTGCATGACGAACACAGCTGGCTCAAGCACTACATGTGGTCCATATCATTCAGTTTACATGAGGTTCGTGCCAATACTGTACAATACTAAATAAACAGTGTGATTATTAACAAGGTATTCTCAGTGATTTATTTTAGTGTTTAATGGTCCTATATTACACAAAATGGACTCTTGTGAGCTTTCAGCCATGTTATAATGCTATTGCCTCATCAAAAACATACCTGCAGTTGAGTTTTGTTTCATTTACGCATGATTGTGTAATCTATTACTACTAATCTATTACGCTCAAATGATGTCTGATGTCTTGTAGTGGTTAACAGCTAACAGCTACCTTTACATTTAGTTCAGCAGAGATTGGCATTTCTAGTGTTGAAATGATCCAAATCATTCTAATGAAGGTGTATAGAGATTAAAAAACACTGAAGCACTTCCTGTATTATCACAAGGATCAAAGTGTTTTCTAGCCAAGCTGGTGCCACCTAATGCCTCCACTCAATTTAATTTCTCTCCAGAAACTAGGTCAGGAATCAGAATACACTCGATGGTTCGCAAAAACCCAGAATTGCGAGTTCGGGCACCAGCCAATCAGTGAAGAGCCATACATTCTGTGTTGTAACCCGATATCTAGGATTTGAAGCCGGAACAAAGAGAATGTTTGGTGAATTTTATCAAGGCGAAAGACGTTATTGCCCTTCTTCCTACGGGATTTGAGAAAAGCTTAATATACCAGTTAGCCCCGCGACACATTACATAGATCACGACCAAATAGGAGTGATTGTTTAAATGCAAAAAAATACTCGCCTGTTGTCAAGCAAACGAATTCTAACACTGCGAGGTCAGCCCGTTTCCACGAAGTGAAACTAGCTGATGAATCAGGCTAAGTGTTTTCTGTTTGAGAGAAAAAACAACACTCAACTCCTGGTATGTTTTTGAGGAGGTAACAACAATTCTCACATGCCTCAAAGCTCACAGAAGTTCATTTTGCATAATATAGGACCTTTAATAGTAGCAGACTGTTTATATCATAAAAGTGCCGTTGTAATTGTCTTAATCCAGGACTTTCACACAGTCAAACACATTGAGTAATCCATAATCACTTACTTAATTTACAAGAGGAGAATTAGTTTTAGCTATTTGAATGGTTTCATGAAGTTACTTACAACTTTACACTTCACAAAGAGTGTAAATTTGAGTAAAATGCATTGGACTGAATGTGTCTCCACAAATAAAATGCGCACTATGAACTGAATCCTTTTTTATTCTAATCACAATATTTGTAAGAATAATTGCAAAATTTTTAGTCCCAACAAGCACAGTTTCTACAGAGTCAAAGAATACTAAAGAGCAGTCGTGTTGTAATTCCATAATTTATTTTTAATCGATGAAAACTGGATAAATTAAGGCTTAAGAACAAACATCATAAAAAGCACCATAAATCAATGCGTTTAGAAAATATATAAAATGAAAAGTACAAAATAATAACCTCTTATACTCTTGTGAGCTATCATGGTCGCTGATCACAGGGACGCTTTGATTCAGTCTGTGTCTGTGTGTGGCAGAAGATGCAGTGAAGTTTGCATAAATTAAAATAAACGGCATTGTGTTTCAAAGACAATAACACAGGCTGATGTCGCTGTTGGAGTCCAGTTTTCCTTTAGAGAAGTTATGCACTGTACAAAAAGCAATATTTGTGAGTTAAAGATGCATTGTGTAACTTCTCTGGTGGAGGGTCTGTCAAATGCTTTTCTCCATAGAGATGTTATTGCTTTGTCTGGAATGTTTCACAGTGAGTATCCTGGTTATGATCAGGTTTTTTGAGTATCATGGTTATAATCAGTTTTTTTTTTGTATAATCAGGTTCAGCAATAACCTGATTTCAGTATCCTGGATATGCCAGTATCCCGGTTATGAGAAACCAGGATGCTCTCACAGTTTTTTTCTGAGAGAACCCTGGTGCGGTACTGAGCATGTGCGGAGCAGTTACTTTCCCAAAACAACTCAAACTCCAGGACTTTTTAAGTAATAATATTCTATACTTATGTACAAAATAAAGCAGTTTTTTGTTTGTGCTGCTCTTGAACCAAATAGACGCTGTGACACTGTTGTATTTTTTAACTGTTAAAAACTTTTACTGAAGTTGTGACAGTGTTCCACAGTCTTATGTTCTTACTTGAATGTATGTCTTCTTTTTTGTTGTTAGAACCCGGTTAAAATGCTTTAAGTTAGCAAAGTTGCTGCTGATGTTTAGCTCCTTGCCATATTTGTGCTATAGTTACCATAGCAGCCAGTCTAAATATCCAGGATACTCTGATGGTGCATGTGTACAAGGACATGAGTATCCTGGTTTCTCTGAGCGCATGTAAACACCATATCCACAATACTGTCAAAACCAGAATCAGGCTCATAACCAGGACACTTGTGCGCATGTTAACACACTCAGTATGGCATTAAAGCTTTCTGTCGTCATGGAGACCAAACCAGACCAAATTACAGGTCAGATCTGTGGAGAGGCGACGCCACTCACAGTCAAAATTTAGGTATTTCTGAGCTATGAAACCACCTGTAATTGAATAAATGTAAGAGCTGTAGAGCTGTTTAATGTCATACTGCGGAACATTCCAGGCAGAGCAGTGACATATCCATAAAAACAAGCAGGTGACAGACCCCCAACCAAAACGTTACACAGTGCACCTTTAAAATGACTTGAAAATGGTATCTTGGTTTTGAGTATTTTTGACTAGTTTCAACTGGCTTGGTCTGCTTTATTTGACTGATTTTGTTCATCCAATATATTATATATAAATTATCTGTGACAGGGATAGCTCTACCTTGTTTCAAATGCTGTTTTCTTACTTAACTTGAAAAAATATGTTTAGTCGAAATTACTCAAGTCAAGAATCAGAGTGAATTCAAGTCAATTTAACTCAGTTTTTTGTGTTAGAAAAATCCACAATTGTTGATCCATTCCCTCTATATACCACACTACAACATCTGCAGATTAACTAGACACATTTCACCTGCCCCCAATTCAGATTAAAAGGGCACTAAGTAACTTTTTAAATGGAGAGTCTGAAACCTTTATGTCTCCACGGTGATGCTGTTGTTTGGCCAGTAATGTTCCGCAATATGGCATAAAACTTAACTGGCAGTCTCCACGGAAACACACCAGTCACTGCACTAAACCAGGAGAATTTGGCAACAAAATGAATGAAAAATATACATGTTTAAAATAACAAATAACACTATTTGAATGAGACTAGTGATGTCACGATACTAAAAATTCAATCTCAATTTCGATACTAGATAATAGACTTGATACTCAATACAATTCTGATACCAATAATTATCTCAAAAGCTCTTTTATTAGTCAATGTTATTCAGGAAACTGTTCAGAAAAGCTCAACTTTTCCTGTGAATGTGACTTTTTGAGTATCGACACCTGCTCAAATAAGTATCAAGTTTCGATATTAGTTCCAATATCGATTAGTATCTGGTTTTTGATACTTTTGACAACCCTAAATGAGACAGACATGTGACAAACTCTCCACCACAAAAGCTCCAAAGTCCCCTCACAGTGTTGTTAAACCCAGTAACACTTCTGTAATAAAATATATGAGTTCTTGATTTTGCATATGTCAAAATAAAACAGCTCTTCTAATAATTACTCTATTTGATTTATACAATATTCCAGTGTCCATTTTCTCCTTTCACTGTGGGAAATACTGACAAACATTATAATCTCTGTGTTTGTGCTACTGCAGTCTTTATATACTTGCATATACATCACATGCCCTGTCACTGCCCATATGAAGTAATATTCGAAAAGGGACGCAGTTAAAATACACTAATATTAAAGGAGCATGTCTTTGGTTCTGTATTCTACGCTACTATTCCACTGAGAAAAACAAAAAACAAAACAGAAATAGGAATGTGTACTTTACATAAAATAGCTTGAATTCAGAATATTATTGATTGAATTGTTCTTAAAGAGCTTGTATTATGCTGTTTTCTGATCTATGTTATAATGTTTTTTCCTCATCACAAACATAAACCCTCAAATGGAAAACACTCTGTTCTACCCTGTGATGTCATACAGGAAGTGCTCCACTGTGTTTTAACTCTGTACAACTTCACTAGAATCATTTGGATCATTTCAGGAATTTCAAAATTTTGGGAATTGCTCATCTTTACTTATCAGAAGGTAAAAAGGTAACTGTTAACTTAAAATCTACCACTTCATGACATCACAAGGTGGCATTTTGAGCTTTGAAAATGTAGACAGACTAATAATAATGGGTTACTCAAACGTGTGAATTAAAAAAACACAACTATAGGTATGTTTTTGACTATTATAATGTGACTTAAAGTTCACAAGAATAAATTTTGTGTATAATAAGATGCTTGATAATTATTAGTGATTCACCAATAGATAATTTTGAGTACATAAAAATTGTACTGTCAAAAATATCTTGAAATTGTCAAATAAAGTAGGGCTAATATTTCATGGCAGCGTGACAGATTTTTACACTGGATATCTTCCTCATTACACAGCAACAATTTTCACCAATAGTTTATGTCCCTAACTCAAATAAGTATTAATATTCTGAATCAAGTCATTCCAGGGTCATAGTTTACAGTGTATGTGTGAGTTGGATCTTGCATTGATAGAATGCATAGGGCTGTGCGTGTCTCTGTGTGTGTGTAGCTTTAAACTCAACAGTTATGACTTTTAAACCAGATAACATCCCATATGAAAAAGGTGAACATAAAGAACTGCATCAACAACAACAAAAAAACTGTAAAAAAAATATGTACATTTGTTCAGAAAAGTAATTCGAGAAACATTTGGCAAACATTTGATTCGATGAAAATGGTACGATAAGGTGAATGATATGATGATATGAAAAGAAGTTGAAAGAATTTCTTTTGGTGTTGATTGCATTGGTTCAGTTATGAGACATATATTATTTTCACACTATATCTCTTTTGTTTTTAAGAGAATTAAGCTGGGCAATGTTGAAAGGTTCTTCCTTCAATGGTAAATCACACTGCAAAAAACAATATCTAGGTAAGTTAAAATTACTTAAATTAAGAACATTTAACTTTATCTGAGTAAATTCAACTTGACAAGTAAAATGATTTACTAGTCGAATAAGTGTGTTTCTGTTAATTCAAGCAACATTAAATTTGATTTTCAATTTAAGTGCAAAAAGTAGATGTTTTTCTTGAGTGTAGCAAGATGTGTTTTCATATTTTAACTACTAAAAGTCTTGTTCCATTTGGCAGATAACTTTACCTGTCAAGTGAAATTTACTCAAATCATGATCAAACTTTCTTAATTCAGGTCATCTTAACTCGGCTAGACTTTAGTTTCTTAGAAATGTTGTTCCTACTTAAATAATATTATTTCACCACCACCATTTACTTTTTGATTTCTTGATCCAAATAATTTAGATTTTAAGATTATCCATTTTAAATATGCGAGTTTGTTATATATTAATCAGTCTGTAATATTTAATTAGAAAAAGGTGACATCATATATTTAAATAGGATCAGCGTTTCCTTATTTTCAGTCTGCAGTTCATCTTAGTCATAGTAAGTAAAGAAATCAAGTCAATACTACTCAAGATAATGCTGTGATTTAAATTCAGTGTAAGTGGTATACAAATGTTCAAGTGCAGACAGCTGGTACGAAAAACCAAAGGGGAAAACCAGATTCTCCTTCATCACAGTCCAGAGTGAGACAGCAATTCCTCCAGGCTCTCCTCACTTCACCTTTTGCACCTCATCAAAAATTCACAACGGAAAAAAGATGACATATCATTAAAAATACCTTATACCTAAAATAATCTTGCATCTTTTTGTCATTTCTGAGGCATACAGAATAGTGTGTATTAAAATAAATATTCAATTCAGTGCAGCGGTTTGAAAATCTATTATATTTACACTGCAAAAAAAATCTAAATGAGTCAGAAGTAGTGAAATCCAGAATTGGTACTTTTTGATTAGGGATGGTACAAGATCTCGTGCCACAAGCTCTTGCGAGACAAAACTGCTACAAAATCGTGCACACGAGAAAAATGATCTTGTGAGATTTGGATTGGACAAAAAAAGGATTATATATTAGTGAGTTACAGCTCTTAAGAGTTCCAAAACAATGCTAGAATGGAAACAAAATTATGAAATTAAATTTGAAAATGCGTGGCCAAAATTAGAAACTGAATCGCAAAATGTATATATTAGGAATTAAGCTAAAAATTGTCTTTCTCGTGGACCCAACTCTCGTATCTTGTCTCATCTTGTGGAAATCGTGTCTTGTCCCATCCCTAATTATGACTATAGTTTAGATTGGACTTGTATATAATTTCAATTAATTTAACTTATTTCAGTATATTCATGACAATATTCTATGAAATTGTATATGAAATGGGCTATTGGTACGTTTTTTAATTGTTAATTATTTTGGTTCAGTTGGATAGGCTCTATTCACACTTACGTCACAAACCAGGAAGAAGTTTGGAAAGATGCGATTACAACTTCCGGCGTATTTACAGACAATGGGCTCGCCTAACATGGATCTATTAAAACCGACTGTGATAAACCCCGTTGAAGTAAATGTCATCAGAGGCAAAATAAAGACTGCATATGTATGTGCTGTTTGGAATCCTCTTGAATTCAGCGCCCTCATCTCTTCTAATCGCATGTACCCAGTGTGCTCGGAGTTGTGCGTCAGTGGGAAAATGAGATATGGTTGTAATTGTTAATTAGTTAAACATAACAGAACACTACAATGACAAGGAGATGAAGAAAACTGGACCTAGGAAGTTGTAATTGCATCTTTCCAAACATCTTCCTGGTTTGTGACGTAAGCGTAAATAGAGCCTATTGCCCAAGGACATAACTAGTTCGCAGTGATGGGTAGTGCTGGTAATCTAACCACGCACCTTTGTGTTAGAGGGCAAACACTCTACTACTGCCAACTATTGTATTAAAACCAGAAGAATTAAGAATAAAAACAATATATTTTAGTTCTAAAAGTATAAATAAAACTTGTTGAAAATACTTAAAATTTTTAAGTTGAACTCATTTGGATATTTTTTTCAGTGTGGGCATTATTTATTCTTGGTTGTGTTGGTAAATTGTACATCTAGGCAGGTCCATCTCTTATACAATACATTAGGACTCCATGCAAGTACATTCTGTATATACAATCTAAACCTAGGATTACTTTACAAAGCCCTGGATGGAGAATTTACCAACTTAAAAAAATATATAGGCCTATACACCAGAACCCAGCGCCCTAAATGTGTCTCCCCATTGGCAAATCAGCATGAAACATGTCACAGTCAACTTAAACATAAACTATGAAACTTTTCTTGTGAAGAGTCTATGTTATTGTCTTGTTTGAAGTGTTCCACAGTATGGCATTAAATCCATCTCGATTTTTCCATTTAGAAGTGATGTATTGTTAAAACAAACAAACAAAGCAAAAATCATTAGAAATCATGTATTCTTACTATGACTGGGCTTGCCTCTTCACTGATCTGACTCGTAACTTGCCCTGGTGATGTTTCCTGCTTGGAGATAGGTGTGATAAATAATGCCGTACTGTGAGACATAAAGGTAATGCAACATCCTCTCCTAAGACATCCAGGTGCCAGGTCCCATCAGAAAAGTTCCATGTTCCATCTTTAATTCAAACCAAATAGACTCTGTTCATTGTTTGTCCTCTGGCAGTTTGTGGCAGCACATATCAGAAAAAGCTTCGTAGTCAACTCATTGCATACTCTGCAAAAAATAAGATCTGCGTGAATTCAAGTGACCTGAATTCAGAATAATAATCTTGAGTTGTTGAGTTGTTTTGGTTAAGTTTACATTTATTGACTTACCATCAATAAGAAGTCATTTTTGTTACATTTTAACCTCAAATTCTCAATTATTTTGGCACAGTTACTTTCTCTCTACTGTCTTTCCAGCTAAAATCTCTTCCAGTGATGTCAGAATTGTGGTCTTATTTTATCTGGAATTTTCTCAACCCACTGACAAATAATTCTGACTGAAAATAAAAGTAACAAAAATGACACAACTCAAAAACTCCTCTCTTTTGGGGTTGGACATACAGTTGGTTTGGAACAATTCCCAGTGTTTCAAGGCAGTACCATCAAATAAAAAATGGCTTCTGGTGGGACGTCCAGATGATCACAGCTGAACTCGTCTCTTCATCAAAAATACTATTTACAGTAACATAAGTTTAGCATGTATATTTTTAATAAATACTGCTCAAAACTACTTAGATGAATTAATCTTAATTCAAATGATTTAAACCCCAGTAGATCTTACTTTTTGCAGTGTACAGTCATGTGAAACCCAAATGAAACACAAATGGACTTGACTGCATGTGCTAAACGTTGGAATGTTTCTTAATAACTCTTGAATGGCCCCGGTTATAGTCATAGTGTCCTCTATATAGATGGAGTCAGGTTTTCTCCTGCAGTCTTCATAAAACGTTACAGAGAAAAAAATCAGATTGAAACATCACAAAATGCACAGACATGTAACACGATGATTGGCTGTTCACTACATGTACTTCTTTTTTAAAAACCAGTAAGCGAAGTAGCCCATGCCCCCTAGTGACCCCATGAGGAAGGATGCCCCAAAGAAAGATGGCGGTTTCTTCTTGACCATGCGGAAGGCGTTGGGCAGCACAGCGGACAGTAGCGTGGTGTGGATGTCTCCCAGGACTTTGCGAAAGGCGTAACGTTTTTGCACCCGCAGAAAGAACATCTGCAGGTTGGGTCTGCTGCCGTCCTCCCAGTATTTCTTAGAGAGTCCCAAAAATTTGAGCCGGTGCAACAAGGCACCCAGGCAAATATCAGCTAATGTAAAATCAGGTCCACATAGCCACAGCTCACACTTCTCATCTGTAACAAACACAAGCACAAGCTGGGCTTAGAAAAGGTGCTTTAAAAGACAACATTACAAACTGTCACTACAGCATATGATGATCTGGGACTTACCTTGATATTCTATTTTCCGTTTCTCCAGCTCAGCTTCCACTTGGTCTAAAACCATGGCTAACTCACCCAGGATTTTCTTCAGGTAGTTCACGTTATCATGGTCTAAGATTTTGGCCTGAAAGTGAAGATAAGCATGGAACAATTAACATCCTTTTATGATGGATGATTTTATATTTTTTATTCGGCCATCAGCTGACTTTGAGGTTTCAAAGTTGATTCAGTTACAGTTTGCTCCACAACTGACATTAGGGTTAGACAGTGAGTGCATCCGTAAAGTCAGACACAAAAACATATTTAATGTAAAAGAAACGGGAGTCTGGTGTTGATAATGAAAACGGTTGTATGCTGATAACCTTGTACAAATGTGTCTGTGCACTGACCATGAGTTTCTTCTGCTTGGACAGGTAGGGCTCTGTGAGCTGAGGCTCCTCATGGTCCAACTTCATCAGTTCTGTCGCAGCATTGGCCAAATGTCCTGAACACACGCAGAGACACAGAGACACACACACACAGAGTGACACACACACACATAGACACACACACACACCACACAAACAGGAGGTCAGTGGTGGTTCTGTCTTGAATGACTCCCTAGGTCACCCCAGTGCTGTGAATCTCCATACAGTTTAGACTCCTCTGCGCTTCTGATTAACCTGAAAAAACACTGCATTTAATTGGTGTGTAATTTATAACTCACTAAATGATATGTTTTTATTTTCTGCTTTTGCCTCACCCTACAATGTCTTAATTAACCCCACTCAAAGAAGACACCATGTTTCATGCCCTCTAAAGCCAACTACAGTATACTAGTAGACACTAGTAGTACTTGTGTGGCTTAATTACATGGGGCTGTGTTCAGATTTCTTGTATAGTAAAATTACAGTTTAGGGCTGATCCTATTCTGCACATATACAGTGGAAAGTGGAGTGTGGACTGCTGTAAATAGGAAATATAAATAAGATGAATGTCCCTGACAGTGAATGCAGACTGTGCTGATGAGACCAGCTGCTCAAAATGTAAAGCCATAATCAAACCCAGAGACGTCACAACTAATAAACCTGATGTACAGAGAGAAAGGCTGTGGGTATTATATTCAGAATATTCCATTGCAGTATTTGATCACACAGCTATGATTTAAAGCTCTTAAAGGAACTGTTACTACAAGGACAGCTGAGCCTGTCCTCATTTTTTTTTTTCGTGGGCCAATTTGAGAGGAGAGCACCTCACCCATTCTCAATATATGGAGAGGCAAGCTCAGAACCTCCAGAATTCCTTCCATGAGCTGCAGACACTGCACTAGCACTGATTCATGATGGCTGCAGGTGCAGGGGTTTAGGTAGTGATCATTCAGATCAGAGAGAGACATTTAAGCTTTAAACATTTGGAACTGGCAACCCAAATGAGAGTCACGTGAGGCTTTTTCTGCTTTCTGATTGGATAATCGTCTTGAACCAAAACACCAAATTATAACATGAAGAGCTTGGCCATCATGCCCAGTGTTTTTGTATTTAAGAATAAATCTGCATTAGAATTGTTATCAGACATTTGAACATGTTTAAATCATATCTGGGGAACAGATAATTCAAGTTTATGAAATTTTAAATCTAAACCTCACACAGGGTTCCCTGAACAGTCATTTTTGCTTAATATGACACCTTTGACTATTTAGAGTCATTCCTCTTTTGAAGAATAGATTGTCATGCTTCGGCACAGTCTGGCTCTTCCTGGTGTTCCTGGTATTCATGGACTTACTGCGTATCTCAGCTGTGGCGTACTTGGGGATCATGGAGTCAGTGGTAAGCTCTGGGTGCAGGATACAGCCGTGAGTGTACGCGTCCATGGGCAACCCATCCAACAGAGTCCTGTACTGCTGCACCCGCTCATACAGAGGAGAGGAGGGGTCTGGAATCAACTGAGCCACGGAGTCTGGACAGAGAAGAGAGAGAAGAGAGAGTTTAAACAACAGGGAGAAAGACAGAGAGGGAGAGAGAGGAGAGAGTACTGCTACACATGCTCATACAGAAGAGAGGAGGGGTCTGGAATCAATTGAGCCCCAGAGTCTGGAAAGAGAAGAGAGAGAAGAGAGAGTTTAAACAGCAGAGACGGAGAGAGAGAAAGAGAGAGCGAGTACTGCTGCACACTCTCATATAGAGGAGACTAGAGGGGTCTGGATTCTACTCAGCCACTGAGTCTATAAAGAGAAGAGAGTAAACAATAGAGAGAAAGAGAGAGGGAGAAGGAGAGAAAGGATATAGCTCATACTGAAGTGAGGAGGGGTGTAGAATCAACTGAGTCACTGAGTCTGTGGCTCAGTTGTCAACAGTGCTACAGAGGGTCAAGTCCATGGTCATCTACAGTCACTGTTCAGTCCTTAAAACCCCAGGAGCTGTTTCATAACTAATGTTCATTACTTTTATTATAATAAATATGAGCTTAATTGCACTTATAATTATAAGGCAGACTTTGGGTCATTCAGAGTTCATTCCAGGGGAGGACACAGAGACTGAAAACAGCTGAAAACATCAAAGTGGCTGTGTGCTGTGAGACAAGGACTGACCCAGGACTGACCCAAGACTGACCCAGGACTGACCCAGGACTGGACCAGGACTGGACCAGGGCTTGACCAGGACTGGACTAGTACTAGACCAGGACTGCATGATTCAAACAGAATTAAACCAGTCCCAAACCAGGTCTAAACCAGGACTAAACAAGGTCAAGGACTCCTGTACATGTTAGGCCCACTGACCCCTGGTGCTAACAGTGTGAGGGGACACATGTCCTTCTCCAGACTCATTCTCTAGAGTAATACATGATTTCCTTCAATGTTACAGTCCTGGTGATTGGAGTACTTCCTGCTTGTGAGATGAGATGACTTATGACTCTTGTTCATGACTTTGTTTCTTGTCCCTGTTTGTCAGAAGAGCCAACATTAGAGGAGGACATCAGCTGTAAAATGATCTGGGGCCATAAAAAAGCAGTTTGGGTAAAATGATCTTTTGAAAAGTCACGCTCTAAATCTATGAGCAGATAATTTCAGCTGCTCCACCTCAGAGCACTGATCTTGTCTTGACAGCTCTGTTTAACATTTCTATTGGAACCTAAACTCCCAAAAGTACAGACAGAACAATAGGCCCATGATGTCACTATAGTCTAAATCTGCAAATGAATAATAGTAATTATACCTATCCTCCATTTCCATTTTATACTACAGGCCTATAGAATGTTATCAATAGTAGCTTACCACAATCACAACTGAACCTTTGTTGCCAGATAGAGGACACATCCAAGTTTGTCTCATTCTCAGTATATGGACAGCCTTATGGTCCACTCACTTGGCCACCATGTCCAATGATCTTGTAATCAGACATAAATCACCATTTGAATTATTATTAGTGAAAATCAATATTTAATTTTAAGCATGTCAACCTCACATCTGAGGGACTTTGATTGCACATACTGTCCTGTTACTGTAGCTTATTCTATCCTTTATCTAAAATTATGTATAAATATACCTGTAGGCACAATCTAATTGCACATTAGTTATTCACTTATTATTCATCATAACAGCTCATTGTGTCATGTAATAGCAACAGCCTTTCCTTGAAAGCTTCTAAACTTTCTATTAAATAAAAAAAGGCCCCAATCAGAGCAGAAATCTCACACAGCAGGAGCACAGACCAGAGTAAAGTAAAGATTCTGCTCCCTGTATGTGAGTGTTTAACAGCCTCAGGGGGAGAGCCTGTGTCTGTTACATAAGAGCACAATGTCTCATGTGAACAGTGTGTGCAACATACAAGCACACTATAGATCTTTATAGTGAACCAGGGTTGAGACATTTTGATTTTCATTTAGAATTTTAGTTGAAATCGAGATCAGTCATGGATAATGGTTAACGATCAGCCTGGGTCTTTTAAAAAAATACATATTGTGCTTGTGTCTGCTGTATACTGTAGTTATAATTTATGACACCCATGGATCATTATGTTATAATTTGAACATTTAAATGTTATCATTTGGACATTTAAAAAACTGCAAATAATATTAATCTAAAACAACTTAATAAAAGAAACAACTGACTTCTGTGTTAGAAAACTGGTGCTGATTGGGAGTTAACGTGACCATAAACATCTACACTATCTACTATCTACACATCTAAACATGAACACTGTGCCCGTCCTACGGATAGCTGCAGAGAGATGATATTTTATATTTCTATGGGGTATTATCTCCTAACACATAACATATTTAGATCACCATGTTGCTTTTGATTTTTTTTTTTTAAATGCTTAAATAGCCGCAAACAACATATTAAAATGTTTAGGAAGTTTCATTTCACTTTCATATTTGACACTGAGTCAAAAATCACTCCTCCTTCAGGCCGCTATCACATGATGTGTGTTACATTAATGAAACTATTGCACATGTTATAACATGGAAGAAATCTCCAAAAGGTCCATTCTGTATAACATCCCATTTTTAACCTCCTGTTCTCAGGTGAAGTGAGATGAAGCATGAGCTTCTATGAGTCCATTATGATGAAGAATAATGCCATCTTTTGCATAGTGTCACAGTCTTTAAGGGGCCCGTACTAACTCTTGTCAAGACAATAAGCTCTTTATGTCATTGATTTTATGGCAAAAACAGATAAATAAGAAATGCACTGAGACTGTAATATATTTATCTAAATCAACCCTTTTTGCTTCTAAATTGTGCACATTGTGTTTTAGTAGTATTGCCTACTGTCTCTAGTCATTTTTGGTCATTTTACTGCAAACTAGGGACATCTGTAGGCTTCTGGTGAAAAACACCTAAATATAAATCTGTATTGCCTCTAGTGGCCTCTGTGACTGAAGTAGTTGGTGACATCACACAGAACTGCTCTGATTACAGTCAGTTTTGTTTCTGTCACACTAAACCTGCATATTGAGGCTAAATTCAACACTCAAACAGAAAACTCTGCTTCACTAGAATGATTAGGATTATTTCAGACCTGCTAATTGCCAGTCTCTACTGAACAAAAGGTAAAAGGTAGCTTATAACTTAAAAACTACCACTTCATGGCATCACAAGGTGAAACAGAGCATTTTGAACTTAGAGACTAATAATGCAGGATTACTCAAATGTGAATGAAACAAAACTGAACTCCAGGTAAGTTTTTGAAGAGGTAACAACATTACAGCTTGGCATAAAGCTCACAAGAGTAAGATTTGTGTAATAAAGGACCTTTACACCATACAATCTAACGCACAGTACCTCCAGTGAAGTTGTTCTCCAGGTAGTCAATGATGTGGCTGTATTCGCTGATGATGGTGTCTCCATGCAGAAACACAGGGACCTCTTCTCCCAGGTTCAGTCTCATGAACCAGGGCTCTTTGTGCTCCTGCAGAGGGAGGCTCACATCACGCTCTTCACACACCAGGCCCTTCTCACAGATCACCAAACGCACCTGCAAACACAACCACAAGAGGGCGTAAGAGAGACATATGGAACTATGCTTATTGAAGAGGCGATATTTTACTTCTATGTGCTATTAAATGCTAACACATAACATACTGTATTTAGATCACCATGTTACATTTTATTCTTTTGAAAATGCTATACTTACAGAAAAAAACATATTAACATGGTTTACAAATTTTACTTTCACACTCTGAGCATACCCTCCATTTGCTCTCTGCGCTAAGAAACTCCTCCTTCAGAGAACTATCACAACACAATCAGTGTGTTTTTGTATATTTATTGAAAATTGTGATGTGGGAGCATGGGTGACGTAGTGGGTGGAGTATTCCACAGAATCTTAAGGAGGGTTTGAATAGGACCCGGGTGAGATCACTAGATTACTCATACATGCATGGAAGACATTTAAACTTCTTCAGGCATGTATTTAATGAGGGAACAAAAAAACAAACAAAATATTTTGCATAATACCCCCTCTTTAACCAGGCCCTTTTCACAGATCACCAACATCACCTGTAAAAACAACCACAAAAGGATGTAAGAGAGTATTTCATTCTGTGGGTGGGGCTTAGCATTAAATTTTTTCACATTTCTTTAGCAAATTATATATTTTTGTTTTAGTTCACTATCAGGTGATGGCTAGGGTTAGGAACATGTAATTTTTTAAGTTTTAAAGCTTTGGATATTGTCTCCACTATAAAGTAATTTAGTGTTTTGTACACAAACAGAACAGCTTTGTACTCATAAGTGCAAAGTCATGTTTAATACATTCACTTTGACTAATCACCACAGCCCCACACACACACATACACACACACACAGTCCAGTGTGTGGGAAGGATAGGCCAAGGTCCCGGAGCTGTTAGCCCAAATAAGATGAATGAACCCTTCGGACGGCCCATTCTGCCGCTTTAGATGAGCACAGTTTTACATCAACACAGACTCATTAAGGGCAATATATGATTTAGTGGCACTGTCTGTGAAGAAAAAATGAATGAAACCAAATGCCAAATTAAAAAGACTTTAATAATGAAGTCATTTTGTGCTCAATCAACACAAAACGTGACAAATACTGGTGAGAATAGATAGGTATTAAAAATATTTTTAAAATCTCACATATTACACTTTTTCTGATCTTTTTTTACCTTATTTTTAAAGGTCATATATTATCCAAACTTGACTCTTGTGAACTTTAAGCCATGTTAGAATGGTGTTACCTCAAAAAAAAACATATCTGGAGTTGTGTTTTGTTTCATTCACAGATGCTTAACACACAAACCCTGCATATTTAGGCCGAGTACTTCTCTCAGACAGAAAACACTGTTCCAATTTGTGTTGTCATGTGCTAATACAGGAAGTGCTCCATTGTGTTTTTAAATTCCATATACCTTCACTAGAATCATTTGGATAATTTCAGCCCTGGAATTGCCACTCTCTACTGAACTAAAGGTAAAAGGAGCAAAACACAACTCAAAGTATGTTTTTGAGGAGGTAACATTCTAAGCTCACAAGAGTCAATTTTGCATAATATACAATCTAAAAAATAAGAAAGAAATATAGGTAAGTTAAATGCCATGCTGTGTAACTTCCCAAACAATGCAATGTAATCTTCATAGCAAAGACAATGACCTGCATTTAAATACAAAGAAAACTAAAGAAATGATAATTGATTTTAGGAAAAACAAATGCATTCCCCATCACATTGGCCTCTACATCAACGGAGAAGAGGTAGAGAGGGTCTCCAACTTTAAGTTCCTGGGTGTGGAGATCAGTGAGAATCTAACCTGGAGCCTAAACACCATCAGCGTTATAAAGCGTGCCCAGCGGAGACTGTTTTTTCTAAGAACACTCCGCCAGAACGGGCTCTCCCAGAAGCTCCTAACCAACTTTTACCGGTGCACCATCGAAAGCGTTCTAACGTACTGCTGTACATCATGGTACGGAGCCTGCACAGCTGCTGAAAAGAAGGACCTGCAGCGAGTGGTGAGAACAGCTGAAAAGGTGGTGGGCTCCTCACTCCCGAACCTGGACACCATCTACTCTTCACGTCTCCACACAAGGGCCTCCAACATTTTGCAGGACCCAACACACCCCAGGAACTGCCTCTTCCACACTCTCCCCTCAGGAAGACTTCAAACTCCCCTCACACGCACAAACAGGCTGCGCAACAGCTTCTATCCACGAGCAGTGGACGTGCTCCAAGGGCACAGGCACAGATAAAAGACCTGAAGGGACTCAGTGCAATAATCTATTTATTTTATTTAATAAATGTTTTTTTTTTTTTTTTTTTTTTATTGGTATGGATGTGAGGATGTGTGTATATATTGTAAATTTTTACTACAGATCTGCTCTGCTGAAGTTTCGTTGTATTTCATACAATGACAATAAATAAATCTATCTATCTATAGAGACAAGTAGGTGGCATGCCATCCAAGAGAAAAGTTACATACTGTGCCTTTAATTAGTGACAGGTTTTACTCCAGGGCTAGGTAGTAGGGTTGTCAAAAGTATTGAAACTCAGATACTAGCCGATACTAAAACAAGAATAGAAATAAGATACTCATTTGAGCAGGTATCAGTACTAAAAAAATCAAAAATGATCCTTTCCTAAATTACAAATGGCAAATGTAGCCTCAGTGCTTAGTGATTAATGCTAAAAATACTCCTCACACCTCCACACACACACATGCATATTGTTTGCTTTGTGGTGATAAACTTTCCTGCGCCTCCGTCCTTGTGATAAAATGCCAACAAATCAACACAATGCTCTCTCAGCATTAGATGTTTAAAGGTCCTACATTACACAAAATGGATGGTGATGGACTTGTGTTTTGTTTCATTCATGTTTGAGGAATCCTTTATTATTAGTCTGTCTACACCTCCAAAGCTCAGTGTTGTTCTGCCTTGTGATGTCATGTAGTCGTATCTCTAGAGATAAATTTAAAGCAGATCTATTCAGCAAAATTGACTTTTCAGAGTTTTTAACCATGTTATACTTGTTTTCTTCTCATTGACCATCTGAAGTTACTTTTGGAGTGATGTTGGAGTGATGTTTGGAGTAATGTTTGTGCATGTTTGAGTCATCTTTATCTAACCTCATTTTCACTCACTGCTCTGTACTTACTTCATTCTACAGTTGTATTTTCTTAATCTTGATACATGTAGGATTCAGCAGTACTGTATAGTAATTTGGGTTAAAAAAAAGAAGTAAATATCAGCTGCTCACTAGTGTGCAGCTATCCATAGAAGGAGCTCACAGCAGGCAGCATTTTATTGTCATGACATTTACAGCAACATCAGCTCACACTGGGCACCACAGTTTTCTAACATGAAAGTAAGCGCACTTTTAGTTTTTGTTTTTTATTAAGTCATTTTAAATTAATATTGTGATTTAAAATGTGCAAATGATAACATAATGATCCACATGTGTCCGAGATTATAACTGTAGAACAGACACAAGCACAATATGTCTGCACTGATGCTATACTGTGGAACATTCTAGAAAAAAAACTGATATCTCCACAGAGACAAGCAGGTAAGCAGGTGGTGGATCCTTATTCAGAAAAGTTACAGAGTGCACCTTTAGCAAAGCTCTTACTGCACTGCAAAAAAAAAAAAAAAAAAGAAAAATCTAACAACTAGAACTGTGAAACAGTGTCTTGTTTGAGTACTTTTGAGTGATTTGACTGATCAGGAAGCTAATTAATGCTATGTAAATGTGTAAATGAATTCCTGAGTAGTTTCAAAATAATTTAGCCTGAAATATGAAACTGAATCTGTTAATTAGGTGTGGGCGATAATTAGATCATATTTTTGCAATCCATCAGAAATGAAATGTGCTCAAATGTTCCAGAAGTCGCAGTTGGTGCAGCTCACCAACTGCATAAAAGTGAGTAGGAAAGTGCAGTCATCATTTTAAACAATAAAACATTCTACACAAATAAAAACTCCTCATTTGAAGTCCTTGCTACCTACATATAAAGTGTTTTTTAAGTGTGTGAGTGCTGCCATTCCCTGAAGCAGAAGGATCACCTGAAAGTCTCTCTAAATGAACTATAACATAGTAAATATGATAAAGATAAAGATGTAAGAGCACATTTAGGGTGCAGGCAGGAGAGATCGATGCAGACCTGGCAACCCACAGCAGCAGGTCAGAGATATATGCCTCACTGCAGACTGTGGACTCACTGCACTGTGAGAACTACAAAACAATATTCTGGTATGGGACTGTATGGCATCAAATATGGGGTAAAATGATTTGGACTTTCTACTGTTGGCAAAAGAATATATTTTCAAGATAAGCTAAATATTGTGAGTTCAATCTTTAAAGGGCCCATATTTCACTATTGTTCACTATAATGTTGTTTCCTCATCACAAACATATGTTTTTTTTCATTCTCACATGTTTAACACACAAACCATGCAGATTTATGTTCTTCTCTCTAACAGAAAACACTCGTTCCACCTTGTGATGTCATGTAGTAATACAGGAAGTGCTCCACTGTGTTTTTTAAACTCCATACACCTTCATTAGAATAATTTTGATAATTTCATCCCTGAAATTGCCTATCTTTACTGAACAAAAGGTAAAAGGTAACTTGAAAACTACCACTACATGGCATCACAAGGTGGAACAGAGCATTTTGAGCTTTGGAGATGCAGACAGACTAATAATGAAGGATTACTCAAACGTGTGAATATGGAGGAGGTATCAACATTATAACATAGAGTCAATTTTGTGTAATATAAGACTTTAAATTCATGTATTGTTGAACAGGTTTTAAACTTCATTAGAGTACTGTGATAGTTTACACATGGAACAATCAGTAATATTGGTGTCTAGCGCTAATATAATAATTGTTTTTGTTGTAATATTGTAATCACTAACAAGGTTTTATACCATATACATATGAAAGATTGTGAAGAATAAAGTGTCTAAGATTATAAAATAAATACCATTTTATAATAGTTAATAAATCTTAAAATAGAAATGATAAGGATAAGAAATGATTCATGTCTCTAAAAATCACATTACTTGTACAGTATTATTGTCATGTTATTGTTCATCATAAGTAATTAGGACATAATCATTATGACACACAAAGACAGGTTTGTTCCATGGCTGCCTGTGTAAACTTGAGTGCTTCATTATTCTCATTAAAGAGTCATTAACGTTAGTGTTTAGATCATTGTGTTTGAATGTTTGTCATATCAGACCTGGTTCTGTTAATTAGTGCCAGTATTGACACAGTTACACTCCTTCTCCAGAGGACGTGTCTGCTGTCCTGGTTTCAGGAGACAAAGAACATGACAGAGAGGAGAATGTGCAGATGTTTCCACTCAGAGCAGCCATCACAGCCTCTTTACCCTCTGCCTTCACCCCTCTGCCCTCTTATCTTTACCCTCTGCCCTTACCCTCTTACTCTTACCCCTGTACCATTACCACTCTGTATCAGCACCCCTCTGCCCTCACCTCTCTACCCTCACTCCTCTGCCATCACCACCCTCTGACCTCACCCCTCTGCCCTCACACCTCTGCTCCCTGTCCTCACCCCTCTGACCTCAACCTTCTGCCCTCACCCCTCACCCCTCTGCCCTCACCCTTCTGCCCTCACACCTCTGCCCTCTATCCTCAACCCTCACACCTCTACCCTATGTCCTCACCCCTCACACTTCTGCCCTCACCCCTCACACCTCTACCCTATGTCCTCACCCCTCACACTTCTGCCCTCACCCCTCACACCTCTGCCCTCTGTCCTCACACTTCTGCCCTCACTCCTCTGCACTCTGTCCTCACCCCTCTGCCCTCTGTCCTCACCCCTCTGCCCTCACCCCTCTGCCCTCTGTCCTCACCCTTCTGCCCTCACCCCTCTGCCCTCTGTCCTCACCCTTCTGCCCTCACCCCTCTGCCCTCTGTCCTCACCCTTCTGCCCTCACCCCTCACACCTCTGCCCTCTGTCCTCACCCCTCTGCCCTCACCCCTCACACCTCTGCCCTCTGTCATCACCCCTCAACCCTCACCCCTCTCACTCCTCTGCCCTCCGCTCTCTCTGACCTCTGGACCGAGGCACAGGATGACTTAGTTGCAGGAGGGCCCCAGTGGTACAAAAACAGGCCCTGCTGAGTGTACTGTAATGTATAGTGTAATGTGTGTGAGCTGTTGTGCTGTGCTGTTGCTGTCTGTTTGTGTGTATGTCACATGAGCTCTGTGTGTTTGTGAAAAAACATTTCCCCTCAGGGACAATAAAGTCTACAGTCATCAGAGTCACAGCTGAGTTCATTACAACTAACTGTGATTGAGATCTGGTCATTTCTAACCATCACTGATTGACCTGGGAGTTTTTAATGGAGGTCTACAGTCACTCCTCTGTCAGTAACAGAATGTGGTTTAGAGCAGATGGAAGGAGACTTTGGAGGAAGAAATGTCACCATCTTGTGTGCTGAAAGTCTATTTTTTATATTCATGAAACTAACACTGAAAAAAATAATGTAATAAAAAATTTTGATTAGGGATGCACCAATCCAGCTTTTTCAGATCAGACACCGATAGTAATACTCTGCTGATAACTAACCTTACTACTACTAACCTTACTAATATTATTATTAACCAATACCAGTGGATTGTAAATGGCTTTTTTCCCCCTCTCAGAACACTGTTAAAGAAGACATATTGTGCTTGTGTCTGCTCTATAGTTATACTCTATGACACCTGTAGATCTTTATGTTATAATTTGGACATTTTAAATTGCAACAAAGCATCATAACAAAGGGCCTCATACTGTGGACCCCTCCTATGGATAGCTGCACATCACACTAGTGAGCAGTAGATTTTTTTTTTCATGTGTTCCAAAATGATACTGCAGAATCTTACGCATATCACAGATTAGAAAAGAAAATTAGAGAAGTATGTACATTACAGTGGGTGCATACCGGTGGCAGTGAAAATGGGGGTTCATTGTCAATATGGCGTCTTGAAAATAATAGATTAAAGATTACTCAAACATGCAAGAATCTCTCCAAATGCAATTTCAGAAGATAAATGAGCAGGAAAACAACTATAACATGGTTACAAGCTCTGAAAAGTCAATTTTGCAGAATATTACAAAATTAATCCAATAGTGTTATGTAACTGTTATTTATCCTGTAAATCACGACTCAACAGGTTTGTATAAAAAAGGTTCAAACATAATGAGACTTTCTGGGTCAATATCAGTCAGTAAATCATCTTATTACAACTAATTAAAGGTCCAACCACCAGGATATCGGCTCAATCGATATCAAAGAACCAATATCAATACCAGTATGGGTATCGTGCAGGCCTAATAATGATTGATCAACATGATGAAAAAGATTTGATTATTTTTTGCTCTTTGCCAAGCTCTAGTTAGGATTATGATCACTGTGAAGATTTTTCCTGTTGAACTATGTTGACGCACACTGATGCTACCTGCTCATATATTAGAAGCTCTCTTATCTGCGCATCTGACGTGAGAACATGCAGTGAAGCTGGTGTTTACTTTGTGCTGAGTGACAAGAGACTTTGGCAAAGAGTCAAAATCTCACTTAAAAACAGACAGAGCAGTCTCTCTCTGGTCTAATGCAACTGGTCAAGGATGTTCTGTAATGTACTTTTAAAAGATACACAGGTGGAATATAAAGTACACTTTATCAAACTAAAATAAAAATTCAACGAAGAAGACTGTAGAATTTGATGTCATAATTTCAGATGGAGGGCAGGGCCAGTATAACTCAGAAGAGTGAATGGCTATGTTTAAATGCACTCCAAAAATCTGAACAGAATCTCATTTCTTTAATATGAAGATAATTTAGATGACGTGTGCACTGCTAAATCTGATATGGTTTCAGTGTGGGTCATCTGGACTCTGTTTTTGCGATCAAGACATTTCAGCTCCATCCAGAAGTCATTTTATACTTGACGGAATTGGCTTGCAGCACTGGGAAGTCCAACCCATGTACTGAGAAATTGTCACCCCTCTTTCTGTAACTGCTGCTGTGAGCCTCGTGATTTTGATCTTAATCTTGATCTTTTGATCTTTGATCTTACTGTCCACTTTACATGATCCTGGTGTTTTTATTTGGCTATTTTGTCCTTAAATCAATTCCTATTCCTAATATAGAAATTGGTTCCAAATTTGCCCCCATAACTGCAACCTCAATGAGCTTCATTTGACTGGAGCTGAATGGTGTGGCTGATGTCACACTGGCTCAAGGGAAGAGTTTGAAGTGATTCTGCCCTTGTTTACAGCTGACATCATTATGGGGCATTATGTCCCTGCTGTGAGCTGGCTGAAGGTGAGACAGACAATAGTCCAGATGAAACATGGATGAAACTTTCTCAATAATGAATCACTCCTGGACGAATGAAGGACTATATCGTCTCACTGCAACATCTGAGCAATCAGAGAGAGATTAGACAATTTTGCAGTTTACATGACCACATAATCAGATTTTGTGTGCACATGTAACCGCGATTTTCTGATTCACACCTGTGCAGGTTTTGAGAAGGTAAAATATGCAAAAAAAGGCTAATTAAACATATTGTACTTTGTCTTCTGAATACAACAGTCAACAGTGTATAAATCTAAAAATCCTCTGATTCACATATGTCATCCCAGTTCTCTAGTGCTGTAAAAACACACCACAACCAGCTCTAATTATTGGGTTTATCTGACCATGTTATGTACTTACTGATTGTAGAGTGAATTCATATTTGCAGTATTAATTCTTGTGGTTTAAAGTGCTTCAGCTGACAACAATCGTGGCTTTGTGGTTAATAATAACATGGCTTATTGTATTGAGTTGATTTGTGTTGACAGTGAGAAGTTTAAAGTGGATAGGCCCAGTAATTACAGAGATATGAACCATAAAAAAGCTCAACAAATCTGCATCTGACAGTTACACAGCAGACTCCACCTGAGAATTCTGACCTGTGCTTCAGCTCAAGTTAAAAGTCCTATACAGTATTACTCATTTAAAGCTGACTCTTGTGAGCTTTAAATGTACACTGTGTAACTTTTTTCATAGAGAGTACGCCACCTGCTTGATTCCATGTTATTTTTTTCTCAGAATATTATACAGTATGGCATTAAATATAACCATGGAGACAAGCAGCCCATATTTCCAGGCTAAGTTGCTGGTCAGAGCAATAACATCACCATGGAGACAAGCAGATGGCAGACCCTCCATCAGAAAAGTTACACAGCGCACCTTTAAGAGATGTTATACTCAAAAATATACCAGGAGTTGTGTGTAATCCTGTAAAATGACATAACAAGGTGGAATAGTGTTTTGCGTTTGCGAGAGGAACTCAGCCGAAATCTGCAGGGTTTGTGTGTTAAACGAGGGATTGAACAAAACACAACTCCAAGTCTGTTTGTGATGTCTTTAAATTATAATAACTCTACAATGTTGTAATGTAAAGTTATAAAGCAATCTATAGGCAAATTAGAATATAAGACGTTTGTTTATAGTTTGTACAGCGTAATATTGTGAATCTGTGATGGTTGACTGAAGTGTGAACACAGATCTACCGGAGTTAGCAGAAGACGTGAAAGAAGCAGAGAGAGAGAGAGAGAGAGAGAGAGAGAGAGAGACGCAGCTGCAGTCCAGATGTGATCATTAAGAGAAGATCCAGATGTTACAGGAGAGCGAGGCTGCACGGAGACGGAGCGGAGCTTTTCTCTATGGACCAGGTGAAGTGAGGTACGGCGTTTTTCAATCAGACATACACAGAAGTCTGGAGTTTGGAAGTTTAGTATCTATTCAGAATGAGACTAGGAGTAAAAAAAAAAAGCTAAAATGGGGCTAAAGCAGGATTCAACCAGGACTAAACAGCACTTAAACCAGGCATTAAAGCAGAAGAGATTGCTATAACACCTAAAGAAGAGTTGAAATATGAACTGAAACTAATACTTGTTTGTGGAGGTCAAAACTACAGGTTCAGCAAAATTAAAGGGTATGTTGTTCTTTGCTGCGGACATTCTATTATGTAAAAAACTGTGCCCTTTGTGATTTGGTAATTGCTCTAACTCAAATTGCATTTTCGATTCATTTGTGATATACTGTGCAGTCCTCAACAGGGAATAAACCAGGCTTACATTAGAGCAAATCAGGGCTAGGTTAAACTGAAGACTAACAAAACTTAACCTGGACAATCCCAGGGTTTCGTGGACAACTCTGTAGTCTCTTACACAGGACTAAACCAGTTCAAAACCAGGATTAAACGGGGACTATACCAGAACTGAACCAGATCTAAACAAGGGCTAAATGAGTGGCTAAAGAGCTAAACACTGGACTAAATCAAGGAAGACCAGGACTCAAGGAGGGTTATAACAGGACGAAATAGGACTGAACCAGAACTGAACCAGGACTAAATCAGTACTAACCCAGGACTGAAGCAGGTCTAAACCAGGACTAAATGAGATCTAAACCATGACTAAACCAGGACTAAACCAGGTCTAAATCCAGACTAAACCAGGACTAAACCAAGTCTAAACGAGGACTGAACCAGGACTAAACCAGGAATAAATGAGATCTAAACAAGGACTAAATGAGGTCTAAAGAAGGACTAAACCAAGTCTAAACAAAGACTGAACCAGGAATAAACCAGGACTAAATGAGATCTAAACCAGGATTAAACCAGGTCTAAACCATGATTAAACCAGGACTAAACTAAGACTAAATGAGGTCTAAACCAGGACTAAACCAGGTTTGAACATGTCTAAACCAGGACTAAACTAAGACTAAACCAGTTGTAAACCAAGACTAAACCATGTTTAAACTAAAACTAAACCCAGTCTAAACCAGGTCTGAACCAAGATTAAACCAGGTCTAAATTAGGACTAAACCAGGTCTAAACCAGGACTAAACTAAGATTAAATCAGTTGTAAATCAAGACTTAGCCAGGTCTAAACGAAAACTAAACCCAGTCTAAACTAGGTCTAAACCAGGTCTGAACCAAGATTAAACCAAGTCTAAACTAGGACTAAACCAGGTCTAAACCAGGACTAGAAGAGGTAAGCCTTTTATCACGATGTTTTTTCAATTTTCCTCTAATTCTACGCACAGCACCTGTCCATATATGGTCATAGCACACAGGTATTTGCTGTGTAAACGTAGCAGTGGCAGAATTAACACAATACACACCGTTTCCTTGGCTTCTTTTAGCACAGGGGCACCTTGTTTGGATCAATAATTCAAGCTTCGTGTATCTTGGTGGTCGTAGCTTTCACTATAGGCGACAGTGGGGGAGACACGGAGGAGCAATGCAGGGGTAGCCAAACCTAAACCAACCCGGGCTATCGACCTGTTCCCCGGGTCTGTTTACGAACCAGACCCGAGACTCATGCTGCAGACGGGAGCGTGCATGGACATTTTCATCTTCCGTGCACGGACACAACACCGTAACATAACATAAACACGCGCTGGCACGTCATGTACGAGCCACAGAAGCCATTTTCCGCGGATGTTTTTACCTTCTGCGAGGCGAAAGATTGCGTCCAGTGGTAGAGAACGAGTCGGTCTTTGCTGTAGGGTTTGGGCTCCTGTACCGGCTCTTCGTTCTCCTCTCCGTCCGCAGCTTTGCCGTCCTCCTCCATGGCTGAGATGGGCCACCAGCTGCAGTTGGTGGGGGTAACATGGTTGGAAGACGCCATGACAGAGCGTTTTGTGCGTGTGGGAGAGGAGGAGAGGAGCGGACAGCGACGAGGAGGGAGGAGGGAGGAGAGAGAGAGAAAAGGGGACAGAGAGTCAGAGAGACACAGAGGACAGGGGAGAGAGATAGAGGAGGGAGGAGAGAGAAGAGAGATAGAAACAGAGAGAAGGGGAGAGAGGTGCGGCGGAGGAGTGGAGCAGGAGAGGTTCAACGCCACGAGCCCAGCATCTCCAGTTCACGCGCGGACAGCTCCGGTGCTGAAATGAAAATCACGCAGCACACGCAGACACTCCTCGTGCTCCGTATTCAGTGCGTAAACGGACGTATAGCGTGACGTTCTGAAGGCGTTGTTGTAGTAACAAGAGTCATAATTAGCCCACTAGTGTGGGACCGTGTGATGTCACGTGACACAGAGAGAACGACGAACGAGCGGCTTGAACCCGGGCTCATGCGAAGGTCACGCGCTCAGTGCTGTAACTGACAGGAATGTAAACCTGTTAAAGCGTAATAAGAAGATATTTTAATTTATTTTTTAATTGTGGGTAGATCTATTTTACATGGTCAACATACATTTTATAAATATGTTTTTAATTCTTTCAGGCTATTTCTTTTCTTTTCTTTTTTTTTTTAATGTTTCAGTCAGTATGGTCCCATTTAAATACAATATCTCGTCGTGGAGTCCTATTTATTTTTCTTAAGCAGATTACAAAAATAACCCCATGAGTGTCTAATGTTAATTTCTTATTAAAAACGAAATAAAGGATCACGATGTGTAAGCTATTGTTTTGTTTTTTTGTTTGTTTTTGTTTTTTTAGAGGGGGGGTGTTTGTTTGTTGAAAGTGAAATGTAATATCTCGTCTTATATTTACTTTTGTTAAGTTTTTTAAAAGCCCCATGAGTTTCTAATGTTCATATTGTTTGTTACTAAACTAAGATGTATGTAAAATGCATTTGTTATTATTAAAATATGTATGGGTTGTGGCTGAAAAGATTAGGCTCACAACTGTAGTGAATAATTTCATAATAATATTTCGTATTTTTGTTGAAAGCTGCAGCAACAGTGTGTCTGATAAAAAACAACAACAAAAAAATCCCCAACAATTTTATTGTTTAACGCCCATAGTATTTATTTATTTGTTTGTTTGTTTGTTCGTTCCATTCTTTACTGAAAAATTGCAGTGATACAAAGTTTGAATTTCTACAGTAGTCTATTTAAAAAGTTTCGACTGCAGCTGCCAAACGTGACCAGCAGAGGGAGCAAACGAGTTTGGAATTATCTTAAACAAAACCGACTTTGTATCCGGGCAAGACAAAATTTATCTCATTTTACCGTCAAATATTTGCTAACGTGCTACTCTTTTAACGAAGATGCATCGATCCACACTTTTTATCACTGCGTAAAGGTAAAAAACATTAAAATCGATTCTATTAACAATATGTCAAGTTTTTTTTCTGTCGATGTATAGCATAAAATCCATCGAACAATATATTTTGGCCTAATACAGCACTGTACTAACATGGCGGCGGGTGAATGGACAGCACGTACAGAACCCGGTCGATTTGAATGGCATGTGCTTTGGTCCCGAAGTGGCACAAGACTCTGGCACGGCTCCTTGCAGGCCGCAGCAGCAGCAGCGGCAGGCGCGCGGTAAGGATTGGGTCGTATTTTTGGATGGAGAGTGTGTGTTCGTGGATTGGTCGCCTTGTTAGGTCTGCTCAAATATTCTGTCAGGAGATAGCTGGGTGGCAGGGACGAGGCGAGACGAGAGGGGCGCGTTTCGCTTGGGCACCTCAAAAGCCATGTAAGACCTCTGGCTTACCAACAATTACGACAAAAAGTTAAATTTATTTACCAAGAACTTCAAATATGTATAAATTTGTAACTTCATTTTGATAGCAACCAAGAAAAGTTATTTGGAATTGACATATCACCAACCAAGAGGACGCATTTGGGAATTACGCATTTAGAAACTTGGCTGCAACTTTCCAAAAGTCAACTTCTTACGTTAAGGATACTTGTAATCAGTTTGGATGTCTGGTAAAAGCGAAGACTCACGCACGGAGCTTTCTTTGAGGTAGTTTTGCGAATCCTTTCTGTCAAAAAGTGGATTTTGTTTGGCTGACATCATGAGCGGGGGTCGTTTTGAATTTGACGACGGTGGAGCGTACTGCGGCGGCTGGGAGGGAGGCAAGGCGCACGGACATGGGATCTGCACCGGCCCCAAAGGACAGGGGGAGTACGCTGGATCGTGGAACTACGGCTTCGAGGTGGTCGGAGTCTACACCTGGCCAAGCGGGAATACCTACGAGGGGTACTGGCAGCAGGGCAAGCGGCACGGCCTGGGCATAGAAACCAAGGGGCACTGGATTTACAAAGGCGAGTGGACGCACGGGTTTAAAGGAAGATACGGCGTCAGGACGAACGTGGTGAGCGGTGCCAAGTATGAAGGAACGTGGAATAACGGGCTACAGGACGGGTATGGCACGGAGACGTACGCGGACGGAGGTGAGACGCTCCCGAGACGCTTTGGGGTAATAAAGGGAACTGTTTTGTGTGACCAGCTGGCCTCAGCATGCAGCCTACTGTGGAGCTATTAATATTTGGCACAAGTGGCAAATGCAATTTACACTAAAGCAGAAACAGGTTTAAACCAGGACTAAAGCAGGAGGACTGAACTATGTTTGAACCAGGTCTAAAGCAGGACTAAACCATGTATAAACTATGACTAAACCAGTTATGAGCAAGGACCAAACTAGGTGTAAAACAGGACTGAACAAGTCTAAACCAGGAACTAAATCAGGAGGACTAAACCATGTCTGAACTAGGTCTAAACCAGTACTAAACCAAGAAGACAAAGCCAGGCCTTAACCAGGACTGGACCAGGCCTAAACTAGGTCTAAACCAGAACTAAACCAAGAAGACAAAGCCAGGTCTAAACCAGAACTGAACCAGGACTACAATAGGATAGGTCTAAACCAGGTCTAAACCAGGTCTAAACCAGGACTAAACCAGGAAGAAAAAAACAAGTCTAAAGCAGAACTAAAGCACCAGGCCTAACTATATCTACCCCAGGTCTAAGCAGGACTAAACCAGGTCTAAACCAAGTCTCGACCAGGTCTAAACTATGACTGAACTGAACCTCTAAACTAGGACCAGAAATAGCATACCCTAAAATGCATTAGTTCATAGAGTACTTCCAGATGACGTCACTTCCACATCTTATGCTACACGTGTGTCATTGTGTTGTGGTGCGGCCTCAACAGAAATAAATAATGGCTAACCTTGTCACCATCATCTAATGCTAGTAAACAACTAACATGGACCCAGAGACAGATACATGCAGAATCACTCAAGCGTGCACTCCCAAGTTTGTTTTGCTAAGGACACAAGAAAACAACATTAGCATGATTAAAGCAAAATAAAAGTAAGATTAACATGGCATCTCTGACAGCAGTAAGTGAGTGAGTTGGAATAGTGAAGGTTGGTGGGGCCTGTTTCTCATTGAAGAAGCTGAGGTTGCAATCAGAGCCATTGAGATAATCCCTGCAGCGATGGTGAAGTTTGAGCCGAGGAGAAGGTCTGAGTCTGTCGCTGTCAGTCAAACAGCAGCCCGTACAAAGTGCACTCCACACTTTAATAGACGCCCTGTTTTAGTCATTTTAGTCTGAATTAAATATGTTCAAAAATACACTTGAAATACAGGCATTTTTATTGGTTGTCAATATTTAGATAGGCTTAAAAGGTCATATTACGCTATGTTCTGATCTATTTTATAATGTTTTTTTTTTTCATCATAAACATACCTGGAGTTGTGTTTTGTTTAAAACAAACCCTGCATATTTAGACTGAATTCTTCTCTCAAACAGAAAACACTGTACCACCTTGTGATGTCATGCAGTAATACAGGAAATGCTCCACTGGGTTTTTAAACTAGAATAGTTTCACTAGAATCATTTGGATGATTTCAGCTGTGGAATTGCCAATTTCTACTGAACAGAAGATAAAAGGTAACTGTTCTTCAACTTCAAAATCACAGCTTCACAACATGAAACAGGGAACAGAGCATTTTGAGCTTTGGATATGTAGACAGACTAATTCTAAAGCATTACCTAAACATGTGGGAATGAAACAAAATACAACTCCAGGTAAGTTTTTGATGATGTAACAACATTCTAACATGGATTAAAGCTCACAAGAGTCAATTTTGCTTAATATTAGGACCTTTTATGCCTATATGGAACAATCCTAGTAAAGCAAAAGAGTCTTCAGCAGAGCCAGCAGGTTGTGGTTGAGGCTTCAACAAACCATGTTCTGACGCTCTCTCCTGACTGCACACAGTGTGGGTTCATGTGTGTCCCTGTCTCTATATGTGTCACTGTCAAGATAAAGAAAGCAGACAAAATTACTTTCTATTTCTTTATTATGTTCATAATCAGTATTGAATATTGAGTGAATTAATTAGTATCGAAATCAAGTTTGAAATGTTAGTATTTTGTTAAGTATGTGGCCCCTTGTAAACATGAATTACCCACCTCTGCCCTGTATCAGAATCACAGTACATTTCCCCTTGTGTGTGGTCAAAGGTCCTACATTACACAAAACTGACTCATGTGAGCTTTAAGCCATGTTATAATGCTGTTACCTCTTCAAAAACAGACCTGGAGCTGTGTTTTGTTTCATTCACACATGTTTGAGTAATCCTTCATTATTAGTCTGTTTACATTTCCAAAGCTCAAAATGCTCTGTTCCATCTTGTGATGTCATGAAGCAGTAGTTTTCAGTTACCTTTTACCTTTAGTTCAGTAGAGCTGGGTAAAAAAATAACAGTGGAACATGTCTTATATTACCTCTTGATATCACAGTGTGCATAAGTGTTTTCTGTTTAATAGAAGTAAGTAAGTAAGTAAATCTTTATTTATATAGCACCTTTCACAAATCACAAAGTGCTTTACAGAGCAAAAAACACATAAAAACAACATAAACAAGAACAGAGGAATTACAGACACAGTAGAAGAACTCTAACGCCTAAATATGTAGGATTTGTGTGTTAAACATGTGTGAATGAAACAAAAACAAACACTTTAGGTATGTTTGTGATGAGGAAACAACATTATAACATAAATCAGAAAATAGCATGATACAATCTCTTTAAGCAAACTACTACATGACGCTTCTGTGGAAGTGTCAAAACATGTCAAGCACAAAAACTGCCAGAAAAAGGGCACACACACACCGGCTGAGGTGTTTTTAGTTCAAATCAATATTCTCGAGTGGAAGTAAAATGTACTAAGTACTAAGGTGTGTACCATATGAGTGTTACTTGGGCTGAAACTAAGAATTATTTTAGAAGTCAATTAGTCACAGATTATAAAAAGGTTTTTAATATTACGCTGTTTTCTTATCTATGTTATAATGTTGTTTCCTCCTCACAAACATACTTGGAGTTGTGCTTTGTTTCATTTATAACACACAAATCCTGCATATTTAGGCTGAGTTCTTTCTTCAGTGAGAAAACACTCTGTTCACTGTGTAGTAATGCAGGAAGTGCTCCACTGTGTTTTTACACTTCATACACCTTCACTAGAATAATTTGACATCATTTGACAATCATATTTTAGACCTGGAATTGTCAATCTCTACTGAACATAAAAGCTGTTAACCTATACAATGAGTTTTATCATTGTATTTGTACAGTACCTTTCATGACACCCAAAGCACTTTATAGAGCATTATTCACTCCACACTCTGTGGTGGTAAGTTACTACTGTAGTCACAGCTGCCCTGACAGAATTGACAGAAGTGAGGCTGCCAATATGCACCATCGGCCCCTCCGACCATAACATCACTCACGCACACGCCACATTCATACTAGGCAATGTGGGTTAAGTGTCTTAGCAAAGGACACAACAACAGTTTTTGACACTACTAACCAGGCCCAGCCTTGCTTAGCTTCTGAGATCTGACGAGATCAGACTTTGACAAGCTGGAATGGTCATGTAGACAAACTAATAATGCAGAATTGCTCAGACATGTGTGAATGAAACAAACAGAGCTGTCGCTCTTCACACGCACATTACACACAGCACGTAGAGCACCAAGTGCTTGCGGTGATTGCGGTTGGATTTGTGTGATTCATGTTTTAATACTAGGATTCTATTTAAAATTCACATTTTAAACTCTCCCAGATAAATTTTTACTCATTAAGTCCATTCAGTTTTGATTCGAGTATCATTACAGTAATGTTGCTGCCCCAGAATTTACATCCAGATTAGGGTAAAAATATTCTATTTGAATGCTTCTAGAAAATCTGCGACTCAGATGTATTATTGTTAAATAGCAACGTTTTTTCCAGATTACAATTAAGGTGTATTAAAATAGTCAATTATTATTTTAGTAGTCATTTACTCATGATTATTCCAATCAATCATTGCAGCCCTACTTAACAGCTGACTCATCATTCTAAGTTTGTGAAGTGGAGCAGAACTGGACAGAGGGAGAAGAGAGAGAGAGAGAGAGAGGAGGGAGGGGGAAGAGAGAGAGGGTGAGAGAGGAAGAGAGAGACACGGGGAAAGAGAGAGTGAAAAGAGGGTGGGTGGGGGAGAGAGGAGAGAAGAGGGAGAGAGAAACAAGAAGAAGGGAAAGGGTGAGAGAGAGGGGGAGGGAGGCAGAGAAACAGGAAGAAGGGAGAGAGGGTGAAGGAGAGAGAGAGGGAGAGAAAGAGAGAGAAAGAAGGAGAGAGAAAGAGAGAGGGGGTGGTTGAATATCAGCAGATGTCAGAGTATAAGAATAGCCCCAGACTGCGGGGTTAAGGGGGTGTGTCCTCTCAACAGTATCTCCATGGTGGTTTCAGATTGTGGTAGTCAGGGACCATGGGCACAAAAAGACAGCCATGTTTTTGTCAGTCTGCCTCTGGATCAGTGAATGAACAGTGCAGTTAGTGTAATATTGGAGTCATTAAAAGCTTTTAACCAGGCCAGCCTTATAGTTTACCCTTCTCATTTATTCATTTGAATTTCTACTTCATGCACATTTGAGTAATCTTTATTCTCCTGTATTTGAGGCGCCATTGCCACAAAATATGTCTGTTCCCCCATGCACACCTGTACGTGGGGTTGAACAGCACTGCGTATTCATTTGGCACAAACAAGAAAAGCAGCTATCCATAGGTGGCACCGTGAGCAGGGTCCGGCACAGTGGCACTTTGTTGTGATGATGCTTACAGTGATGTACTGGAAAAGGTTAAAATCATATATTACACAAAATTGACTCTTGTGAACTTTAAAACATGTTAAAATGTTGTTACCTCATGAAAGATACCTGGAGTTGTATGATTCTAGTGAAGGTGTATAGAGTTTTACGAACACAGTGGAGCACTTCCTTTACTAACACTTGACATCACAAGGTAGAACAAATTGTTTTTTGTTTGAGGGAAGAACTCTACCTAAATGTGCAGGGTTTTAATCATGTGGGAATAACATAAAATACAGCTCCAGGTATTTTTGTGATGAAGAGCAACATAACATAGATCAGAAAATAGTGCATTATGGGCCCTTTAAGTGGAAATGAGCAGAAATGTTACTTTTATAAAGTTATTTTAGATCAATATGACCTTGTTCTCTCTCTCTCTCTGTGTCAGGCACGTTCCAGGGCCAGTTCACAGGGGGCATGCGACATGGCTACGGCGTGCGTCAGAGCGTCCCCTATGGGATGGCGGCGGTGGTGCGCTCGCCCCTGCGCACCTCTCTCACCTCCCTGCGCTCAGAGCACAGTAATGGGGCCGTGCTGCAGCAGGATGTCCCTCTCATCACCACCACCAGTGCCTCAGGGGAGGAGACACCCGTGTCCACCCCCACACACCTGGGCCCGGCACGGGGAGGCTTCGCCCTGACATTGCAGGTGGATCCAGAGACTGCCAAGACCAAGAAGAAGGGGCTGTTTCAGAGGTACACAACAATGAATGGGTTTATTCTGTAATGGATGATATGTAGATGTGTCCTTGGGCAAGATACTTCATCCACCTTGCCTTGAATTAATATGTGTAAATGACTGGTGGTGTTTGGAGGGGCCACTGGCACAGACTGATAGCCTGATTGCTGTCAGTCAGCTCCAGGGCAGGTGTGGCTACAGCAGTGGTGGTTCACCACCATCAAGTGTAGCATAATAGAATAATGCATTGTAAGGTGCTTTGGTTGTCTAGAAAAGTGCTATGTAAATCTAATGCATTGCTATTATTATTAGCTGAAACACATTTTACACTGTGGGGAACAACAAGAAGCAACATACAGCAGAATATAGGGTGAAATTTGATGTTGTGATGTAAAATAATATCAGCAGTTAACAAATCTATTTCAGCATATCTATTGTTTAAACTTGCAGAGTTTGTGAAGAGTTCATACAGCAAGTAACTAAACTTCTTTATAGAAGAATCAGAATTAGACAATGTGACTTTAAGTGAAACATAAAGTTATATATTTTCATTTATTGTAAAATCCTGATGCTTTTCATTACACTGATGGTAATACTAATATACTGTCCCCTCTCTCTTTCTCAGGAGCTCTCTTCTGGGCAAACTGAAGAAGGCTGAGTCCAATACATCACTGTCCAGTCAAAAAAGTAAACTTAGTTTCCTCAGAACAGAGTCAGCTCTGAGCTCCAATGCCAGTGACACCAACTCTACTATAAGGTAACACTACTACAGCACTACTGTAACAGGGTCAAGACTAAACCAGTGCTAAATTGAAAACATGACTAAGGGTTGAACCAGGACTAAATCAGGACTAAACCAGGCCTGAACTAAGACTTAACCAGAACCAAACCAGTACTTTCCTGTATTATGAAATGACATCACAATGTGGAATAGTTTTTTCTTTGAGAGAAGAGCCTAAATATGCAGGGTTTGTATGTTAAGCACTTGTGACTGAAACAAAACACATCTCCAGGTATGTTTGTGATGAGGAACAACATTATAACATAGATCAGAAAATAGCCTAATATGGACTCTTTTAATAATGTGTATAACCTCTCTCCTTCAGCCTGGGAGACGAGAGCCTGGCTGGAGCAGAGGACTTCCCCCCGGTGGAGGCTGACATCGACGCCACCACCACAGAGGTGTACATGGGCGAGTGGAAAAATGACAAGCGCTCAGGCTATGGCATCAGCGAGCGCTCCAGCGGACTCAAGTATGAAGGGGAGTGGCTCAACAACCAGAGGCATGGCTACGGCTGCACCACCTTTGCAGAGGGGGGCAGAGAGGAGGGCAAGTACCTGAACAACATGCTGGTAAAGGCCGTGAAGAAAAGAGTAATCCAGCTCAAAGGAACCAAGATCAAACACAAGGTGGAGCGGGCGGTGGAGGGAGCGCAGAGAGCAGCCGCCATCGCCAAGCTCAAGGCCGAGATTGCTGCGTCCAGGTGAGGGCAGAACACGTGCTATACAGGCAGAGAAAACAGATCACATCATTATAACAGTCTGATGAAACTCAAAATATTATTGTCCTCTAAAGGTTAGTGGTTTGAATCCCGCTTTCAACATAAACATTATTGGTTAAGCAGTTTACTGACAAGTAGGCAGTGCAATTTCATCTCCCACAGATGAATGCTGTTGTTGCGTCCTTGGGCAAGACAGTAAACCCCCTTCGTCCCCATGTCTGTGTACACTGGTGTATGAGTGTGTGGTATGTGTGAATAGGTGAGTGGTTCTTTAATGTAAAACCTTTTGAGTGATATGAAAATGTGACCATTACCAGACAAAGGTCTGTGGTTAAGGTGGAGGTTCATGCTGTTGTCCTGTGTTTGAGCAAGACACTTCCCTCTGCTATCCTCGTCTGTGTATGAACTATGAATGTTTGATTTCAGTCGTCTGGGCTACAGTTAAAACACTGTTAGAGGATTGATTCCCACTCAGACCAACTGCTATTGTAGTGTCTTAAGGCAAGACACTTCACCCACCTTGCCTTTATGAATGTGAAGTGTGAATGAGTGATTAGTGGTAGTGTGATTGGTGGTCTCACGCCTGTCAGTTTGCCCAAGTGCGGCTGTCACTGCACCACTGAGAGGTTTTGTTGAGGCTGTCAAATACAGTACAAGTATGGCTATGGTCCTTAATCATTTAATCAGTGAATTGGCTGATGGAGTCTTAATCCACCAAAATGTGTCTTTTGTATTATTTGAGTAATTATTGTATTTAGATGATAAGGATTTATATTAGTCAGCAGAAAGGAATGAGTTTATTCAGCCTTGTATTTATATGTAAATACCATAGACTGTATATATAAATTAACATAACTAAAGCACTAGCTGCTGTGTTCAAATTAGGAAGTTTGCATGCGGGCTCTTCTTGCCCCTACTGACCCTGGCTCGCTTTGACTTACATTGGAATTTGTCGTCCCTCTCTCTCTAACTGCTGCTCTGAGCCTCCTCATTATGCTCTTAAACTGTTTGTATTAACCCGCTCTACATTATTGTGATGTTTTTATTTTGCTATTTTGTCTTTAAATTTTTTTTTTTTCCTAATACAGAGTCTGACTACAAATTTGTAACCATTAGCATCGTGAGCTTCATTTGAGTGAAGCCACACACTATGGGTGGCGTCCACTTCTTTGTACAGTCTATGATAAATATACCAGTTTCCTTGTACTTTCTGTATAAATTGAACTCCCCCTGCAGGTGTAGTCTTGTGAGTGCAGTTTGGGTCAGATACACAGAGATACGTATTGTAATAGTTTTGAGAGCTTTTGCCACGCCCCCTCTTTAGTCAATCAATTGGTAGCACATGTCTTTAATTCACCAATAAGTTCTTTAGTAAAATCCAGTCCTAAATACAATTGTGAGGCATTCTGGCATTTTACTTGTAGCCCTCCATGTTTGTCTTGGCCTGAGCAGATGTTTCTCTGGTTGGTGAATCACTAAGTCCAGTGTGTGGTTGCTGATGGTACAGAAGGCGTCTCCCTCTTGGGTCCTCCCATAGATATAGTGCTTGATTTGTTTTTAGTTCAGCGTTCAGTGTTCTGTTGCTAAATCTGTCACGATTATTATGGACTTATTGTTCAATGCATGACAGATGGAATAATCATTTGGGTTCAATATTTATCATGGTACTTTTTCTTTGTCCTAGTGGGGAACATTTGTTATTTTTCTGTACGATCATAAGATGTAAAGCAGACCTATCCTACAAAATTGACTTTTCAGAGCTTTCAGAGCTTTTATAGTTATAGTGGTTTCCTCTCATTTACACCCTCAAAGTTGTATTTGGAGGGCTTCAGACATGTTTCAGTCTTTAATCACTTATTGTCAAGATGCCCTATAGCCAATCCAATTTTATTTTCTTAATCTGTGATATGTGTAGGATTTGGCTGCGTCACTTAGTCATTGCCCGCTAATGTGATGTGCAGCTGTCCATAGAAGGGACCAACCGCATGCTATGTTTTGTTGTGATGATGTTTACAGCAACGTCAGCTCCCATTGGGCACTACAGTTTTCTAACACAGAAGTCAGTGTACTTGTTTTAGAGTATTGCGTATAACAATGATCCACAGGTGTCATAGAATATAACTATAGAGCAGAAACAAGCACAGTATGACTTCTTTAAACTGTAGAGAGTTGAATAAACAACTGCTGTAAAGTGTTTCATTCTGCTATATAGTTCTAGCAGCTATAACGCTATTGTAAATTTAGAATCGTTTTTTGGGGGATAGTCTTTTAGTTTCAATATTGTTGTTTATCATCCATATTTTCTTTAGCAACTTCATTGTGATTGTGGCCTTCCTCTTGCTGATGGCACAGAAGTCGTCCCCTCTTGGATCCTTCCATAGACAGTGCAGTCATTTGTCCTTAGAAGGCTGTGCTGTGTTTGGCAGACTGCTCTCACCTCCTGAGTCTGTGATGGAGCCCAGGCCTCTGTCTGTGCAGCTCAAACCTAAATAATCCTTTGTTAGAATGTGCAGTGGGAGATCTGAGTTAAGGATTCACAGCTAATGTTATCAGCTCTGTCTCACTTAAGCACAAGGCGCACTTAAGGCTTCCAAATGTAAATGAAAAAGCACTTTATAAACTATTATGATTATGATTTCTTGAAGGCAATATTCATTTGCTTCTCAGGCAAAACAACCACATCTCCATGGAGAAAAGAAAGTTTCAGACCAAAAACAGACTAAAAACAAAACGCCCCTTTGAATGGAAACAACTCTATACATATAACACGAGACCATATGTCTATGTTTGAAAAAAAAAATAAAAGTCTGTATTAAGAGATTTATAGGACCTAAGCAAGACATACTTCAAATCATTGCCAAAGGCCCTGTATTACACAAAATTAACTCTTGTGAGCTTTTAGCCATGGCATAATGTTGTTCCCTTCTGAAAAATATACCTGCAGTTGTGTTTTGTTTCATTCACACATATTTGAGTAATCTGTATCATTAATTTTTCTACATCTCCAAAACTCAGAATGCCCTGTTTCACCTTGTGATGTCATGAAGTGGTAGGTTTCAAGATAACAGCTACCTTTTACCTTTAGTTCAGTAGAGTTAGGCAATTCCTGGGCTGAAATTAGCCAAATGATTCTAAAGGTGCGTGAAGTTTAAAAACACAGTGGAGCACTTCTTGTATTACCACATGACATCACAAGGTGGAACAGAGTGTTTCCTGTTTGAGAGAAGAACTCAGCCTAAATATGCAGGATTTTTGTGTTAAACGTGTGTGTGTGTGTGTTGCGTGAATGAAACAATACACCACTCCAAGTATGTTTGTGATGAGGAAACAACATTAGAACCTAGATCAGAAAATAGAATCATATGGGCCCTTGAACACAAAAATAGTCAAATTTCTTCATCTAAAACCACATGCTTTTTCTGACAGAGGATTGGTTGTACACCTCTATTAGCTGATCATTGACCATTAGAAATCTATTCAATTTGATTCATTGTACACAGTTCGACTCTGAAGGTTGTAAAAGTCCATATTAAGCTAAGCCTTTGTTATTAATTACATCTGAGAGCTAGGCAGCGGCTGTTTATTTTTGCACTGTAACCACGTTGCAGCCGTCTGTCTCATGATTATATAAGGCCCTCAGAGGCATGACTCTTGTGTTCCTGGCACTGGTCTGATTTGGCGCTGCAGACACAGGGTTAAAAATACAATGAACCACTCACCTCCACTAGTTCAGTTAACCAACACTGCACCGGAACTCAGGCATGTCTGAGTCTGAGCAGCGCTGCAGGTAATGTAGGTCCAGACTGACTGTGTTAATATTGGTTTTCTGCGATGCATTGTGTCCTTATGCAAGACACTTCACCCTCCTTGACTTGTATGAACGTGATGTGTATGAGTGTTAGTGGTTGGAGGGGCCAATGCAGAAAGGCAGCCTTGCTTCCATCAGTCTACCCCAGGGCAGCTATGGCTACACACACTTACTACCACAGAGGTGCAAGGGACATACTATATTAACACCAGGTCAAAACAAAAGCATTTTGAATCCTTAAAAATGTAGGCCAAGCTACAGGTTAGATCTGTGGAGGACCGAGCCATATGTTGACATACAGTGTATTTTTTAGCAATAACAATAAGAATCTGTAATTGATTTTTTTTTTATTAGTCCCAAAATGACTATGCAACACTGAAGAATCCTACATGTATCACAGATTAAGAGAATACGACTGAAGAACGAAGTAAGTATGTCACAGTGAGCATGTACCAGTAGAGGTGAAAGATGCGGTTAGATCAGAGCAATGACATCTTGAATAGAGGACCATAAAGATGACTCAAACATGCACGAATCACTCCAAATACAACTTCAGAGGGTCAGTGGTGAAGGGAAACAAAGCTCTGAAAAGTAAATTTTGCAGAATAGGTCCCCTTTAATGCCATATTGGAATGGAGTATTATAAGTAAGGCAGTAATATGTTCTTGGATACTAGCAGGTGATGGAACACACTCCAGAAAAGTTACGCATTGCATCTTTTGACTCCACACCATTCTCAGTTTTCCTCTCTCCATTTGAATTTACCGGCCGTTGTGTAATGCTCTCTGACATCACTGGAGCTCATCTGTGGTCTGTGGACAGTGACGTGTGCAGAGGGGCAGCCGTCTGAAGGCTCTGAGCTGAGTGTAAATGACGCAGAGAGGGGCCCTTTGGTCACTGAGGGGCCCAGCTATATATGGACACACGCATATACATTTTCCATGTTTCTGGGGGACAGTACAATGCAAGAAGGTTCTGGGTTTGATCCCTGGGTCACCCGAACCTTTCTGTGTGGGGTTTGCATGTTCTCCCTGTGTCTAGGTGGGTTTCCTCTGAGCACTCCAGTTTCCCCTATCAACCCAAAACATGCACCAAAACCTCCAGTGCCCACTGCTCCTCACAGGTTGCACCAGCGGCATTGAAGAATCATCAGATGCACAAGGCTTACATTCAT